CACCAACCGCCAATTCCCATCCTCGCACCTAACGTCCCCTCGGCTGACGTCATCTGACCCTCACCTCATCTCCCCTCTTTCTCACCTCACCGTATCTCCGCCTCGCCTCACATCTCCTCACCGCACATCATCTCCCTCCCCCCCCCCCCCCCCCAATTTAGTCTTCCTTCCCACAACCTCATCCCATCTTCCCATCACCTCCCCTCCCCTCACCTCACATCCCCTCACCTCGCGTCGTCTTCCCAGCCCTCAACACCTCTCCCCCTGCCCGTGCCGCGTCTCCCACCTCCTCTGCACGCACGCGCGCGCGCGCCTCACGCACGCGCGCGGCTCGTGACGTCCGCGAGGGACGACACCGCGACCCCGGCGGGGAAGATTTATGAGCCTCACCCCCCTGCGTCTCTCCCTCTCTCCCCTTCTCCCCGACTCTACCACGATCTCTGCCTGAGTCTCCCTCTCACTGTGCCTCTCCGTTCCTCTCCCCGTGTCTCTCTCTCTCTCCTTTACTCTCGTGTAGGTCTCCCCGTGTCTCTCTCCCCTCTCCCTACGTTTCTCTGCGTGTGTCTCTCTCTGAATGTCTCTGTCTCTCTCCCCGTGTCTCTCTCTCTCCCTCGTGTGTCTCTAAAATCCGTCTCGCCGTGTCTCCTCTCCTCCCCCTTCCTGCGCCTCTCTTCTTTGCCTCTAGCTTCCTCTCTACGTGTGTGTCTCTCCCCTCCTCTCCGTGTCTCTCTCCTTACATTTCCATCGTGTCTCTCTCACCCCACCCCCCTTCCGCCTCTTTTTCTCTCTCCCTCCGAACATCCCCGACATGCCAATAAACCACCAGCTTTGTTTGTTCTCTGCCATCCAAAGTGACGCATTTTATTCCAAACGCATGCGTCCTAAACTCCCAGGAAAAACAAACACATCGCCCCGTTTGTTTTGCTCGTGTCGCGGGCTACAAGGTAATCACGGCCACTGGCACTGATTCTCCACCACCACCACCACCACGCACCGACGGACTAGAGCTCGCCATCGCCGCCTTCCTGTTGCCAACATTCCGCCACCAGGCGCTGCTCAGCAGCCCAAGATCGTTTCTTCCAAGGATGCTCAGCATCGCACTTCATCATCAGCCACGATCAATCCACTGGTGGATGAACCCCCTGCTCCCCCCCCCACTCCTCCACTAGCCCCCCTCCCCACCTCCCCACCACGCCGTCACCATCTTCCAAGATCCCGCGATGGAACCATCCACCGAGCATCTGCCCACGAGCTGATTTCATTGCTCCATCTCCTGGGAGAACGTAATCTTCTTTGGCTTCCATTCCGTCATTATTCTTAACCGATACGAAATCGGTTATGAAACTACTGCCACGCTATGCTGTTTCTATGACCGAATAGAAACGGATGGAACGGTGGGGCAGTGGTTAGCGCACTCCACCGTGGAATCGCTGTGTTGGAATCCGATTCCGGGGCCTGGCTAACATCAGTGGAGAATGGAATCTGAAACACTCATGCCACCTCCTTCCATCCTCACCGATTTACATAAACACCTCGTATTGACCAGCGTGGTGAAGTATAGTCAAGTCACCCTCGTGACCCACTCAGCGCGTGGTCGTGGGGGCAGCGTCATAGAAAACAAGTTGAGATTAAAGAGGAGCAGCCAAATCTGTCTCAAATCGCGTCTGGTTCCACTCAGTCGCTTTGACATTACATCTCGAGGGAGCTTGCCGCTTTACACAACTTGCTTCTTGTTATGTATATAACTTGTTACAAAGAGATATGTCATCGTTTAGATTCTGATTCGTTCCTTCCTCGGCCACTGGTGTTCATTACAAACACCGCGAACTCCACATTCGTAGGAAACAGACTCTAAATATTCGTGAAAAACATCGACTTTTGGGAAATGGCCCAACTTCATAGCACGTAAAACTTGTCGTGGACGGATGGGTGCGTAGATGTGTTGTTGTTGTTGTGGTGATGGTGGTGTGTGCGTGTGCACCACTGCTAACGCAGCAGCAGCAGCAATATCGCCGAACGAGTAGTTACAGGTGAACACAATCGTCGCACAATGTTGCGGTTTCTTGGTAGTTCTACATCGCCCCACGTCGTTCGTGCAAATTACACCTCGCTATCGCCAGACAAGCTGGGAAGGCAGCCAGACAGTGAACTGGTTCTACCAAGATTTACCCAAGCTCTGCCACCCTATACATATGTTAAGACGCCATTCTCTACATATATGAAGATGTGGGAGAAAAGCGAAGCACCACGTGTGCGCGAGGGCCAACGCTCCATCACCATTCAGAAGGGACCCACGATGATTCTGAGAATACAAACAATCATTGACATTTGTAAGGCGCACTTAATCCGTCGATCCCAACGCACTTTGCTGCACTGCGTTCACCTGGCGAGCCGGGGAATATGGTAACTTCCTCGACGTCCGTGGGAGACGGGAGTTTCGCAACGTGCGTGTGATGCACCAGCCCCTCGTTGATTTCAGGCCACGTGCGCGGCCACCAGGCCCCCCCTCCCCCTGGCATGAGAAGCGAAGCAGACGGAGGTGCAGAGGAAAGAAGCGGCAGCGGCGGTGGCCTGCAGCAGCAGCAGCAGCTGCAGCGAGACGAAATCACATAATTCGGAAGCCACTGCTGGGACGTGAGTTTAGGAATGGAAGGAATGAGCTTAGGGATGGAAGGAATGAGTTTCGGAATGGAAGTGATGAGCTTAGGGATGGAACGGATTGAGTTTAGGGATGGAATGAATGAGTTTAGGAATGGAAGAAACGAGTTTAAGAATGGAAGACATGAGTTTAGGAATGGAAGGAATACGTTTAGGGATGGAAGGATTGAGTTTAGGAATGGAAGGAATGAGCTTAGGGATGAAAACGGATTGAGTTTAGGGATGGAACGAATGAGTTTAGGAATGGAAAGAATGAGTTTAGGAATGAAATAAATGAGTTTAAGAATGGAAGGAATGAGTTTAGGGATGGAAGGAATGAGTTCAGGAATGGAAGGAATGAACTTAAGGATGAAAATGGATTTAGTTTAGGGATGGAATGAATGAGTTTAGGAATGGAAAGAATGAGTTTAAGAATGGAAGAAATTAGTTCAGGAATGGAAGGAATAAGTTTAGGGATGGAAGGAATGAGTTTAGGAATGGAAGGATTGAGTTTAGGGAGGGAAATAATGCCATTGCCCAGCAGTGGGAAGTTGTCTCTACAACAACAACAACAGCAAAGTAGAAAGGAAAAAAACCCCATCGTGAAAACGCAAGCGAAAGTATGTGACACCAAGTCTTGATCGAGTTTTCACAGTTGTATGTTCAAGACGAGAGACATTCGGCTGCGGCGGAATAACCTACTTTCTGGGGATGGGGAATGTGTGATTTAAAATGTTTTTGTGTGTTTTATTATTTATATAAATGCGCTCATAACTTGTTATCCAGATGTCCGCTCGTACCGGGAGATGATTTACTGCACAGGAAGGGGGCCAGCTGATGAGATGCCTGTACTCCAATCCGCGGTATTTGGCAGCTCCACTCCCCGCAGGCTTCTTATCCAAACTACCAGGGCTGGGACCATTCCGTCGATTAAGCCGAGCGATCCGATTAACCGACGAAGCAATAACATCGACTCATTGTTTGCGGTCGATGTATCGAACCCCCTCCAATCCTGCCTGCCACCTGAACGTAGGTGACCTCTCTCCACCCCCCCAAACCTCTACAAGCCACCGCACCCATCACCTCCCGTACAGAGGCACAATTGGGGTACAGAGGCGAGTTATTTTGTTCCAACCGAATGGATAATCGGCAGGGAAATCGGAGAGCTGAGCTCTAAAGACTACCACAGACATATATATATATACCCGTCGTAACCCCCCCTGTACTCACCACTTCCATTACTTTTATTGCCCGTGGCCTTTGTTAGGTAGCACCCTCTTCATCCCAATACCCCATCACCGCCCCCCAAATCCACTTCACCCCCCATCGTCATCACCTCCCCACCCCTCGCTACGACCCCCCCCCCCTCCTCGTCACTCATAGCCTCACAGAAAGTAAAACATCTCTCAGCGTTCCGGGAAATAATAGGCGTGCGCGCGCGTGAGTGAGTGTGTGTGCGTATACGCGGGAGTCGATGTGAGTGTGTTTGTATAATGTGGGTGCATCTACGCGGAGCGGTGGAGCAGTGGTTAGCGCACTCTGCTACGGACCGTACAGATTGTGGTGCTCGCAAATAAACCTTTACCCAACAGTCTGTGCAGGCAATGCGGGGGGGGGGGTCCTTGTCTTTGTGTGTTACTGTGTGCGTGGGAGCCGAGTATCCGTTCACAACCAGCAACAGTGGCAATTATCTGAACCGGTACTGGGCCTCCCCTAGGTCGACTCAGCCTCAAATGAGTACCTGGTGCGGTGTGTAAACATCGCGACTCGGCAGACAAAGGTGGCCGGGCGTGGTGATAGCCACCCACCCCCTCGTGTGTGCCGTAGCGGCCTTCAAAGGTGCTGCTCCTTTAACCGCACTTGTACCTACAGTCGACTAAGACCAACGGATGATCTTCGTCTTTCTATGTCTGAACCCCAAGTTCAAATCCCGCTCACAGCTAACATCGGTCACGGATATCTGAAAAGGGAATTGAGCCTCCCCTAGGTCGGCTCAGCCTGAAATTAGTACCTCGTGCGATGTGTAATCCGTCAGCACTGGGGAGACAAAGGCGACCGGGCGTGGTGCTCGCCGCACCACCCCCTCGTGCGCCGTGCAGTTCTTCATCGGTGCTCGCTAACGGCACTTGCCCCCGACAGTCTGTGAAAGGCTACACGGGGCATCTTTGCCTTTGTGCTCATTATGCGCGTGCGCGTGCGTCTCGAGTGTTTGTATGGGCGTGGGAGTGTGCGTCTCGAGTGTTTGTGTGCATGAGCGAGCGAGCGCGCGCGCGCGCGTGCGTGCTGAGTGCGTGCGTATGTGAGTGCGCGCGTGCGCGTCTGTCCGTGAGCCAATAAAAGGACGCAATATCCGACGAACGTCAGAAGTTTCGACGCAGCCCAGACAGATATATATACACGGGCGCGCGGCGTGTAACGCGAGTGCGCCCTCGCTCAGACCAGCTTAGCTGACTCAGCGAGATATCCTCTCCTCCTTCTGCTCCTCTGCTCCTACGGCTCCTTCTCGCTGTGTGCACGAGAGTTTGCGTGGTATTTTTTTGTTTCCCTTGTTTTTTATATTTATTTCAGAGAACAAGAGAGAGAGAGGGAGAGAATAAAAACCTCACTTATTCCCCCCACTTCGACCACAGTCTCACAAACGCATCGACGCCGCCGCTGCCGCTGCTGCTATTGCTGCTGCCTAAGGGACCAAGAGTCTAGGAAGCCTTTGTAAGCAGAGCAAAGATCGTGCCGCGCTTCTCTGTGTGAAGTCGTTTGAAACGTCGCCGTGCGTCGCTGCCGCCGGGTGCACGTGTTGTTGCAAGGATACGTGCAGGGAGGCGACGATGATGATAACAATGCTCATCGTCTATGCGCTGGGCGCGATCTCACAACGCGCCGCCGCCCATTCCACATTCCCGGACGGCGCCACGGACACCTTCACGCCGGACGTGAAAAACGGCCCCGGCAACCGCGTGCTGGTCTCGTTCCGCGCCTTCGGCAGGGAATTCTCGCTCGATCTGGCGCCCGGCGAGGTCGGCGATCGCGAACAGCAGACGAGTGGAGGCGCGGAGGTTCGCCTCTCCCAGCTGCGCTCGTGCGTGCGTCGCGGCGTCGTGGACTCGAGGCCGGACTCCCTCGCCGTGCTCAGCCTCTGCGGCGGAGGCGGCCTGAGGGGTCTCTTCGCCGTGGGGGGGGAACACTTCGAGGTGGCTCCAGTTGAGGGCGGACGAGCAAGCAACGGCAGCGTGCGTCCGCACTCCATCACCAGGACACACGCGTCATTCCAGCTCGCTCCCCACGGCATTCCTGCTGCTGCTGCTGCCGTTGCCGCTACCACCGTGAAGACCACAGCCAGAGCCGCGAGGTCCAAGCGCTTCGTGTCGAGGCCACGCTACGTGCAAGTGCTGGCCGTGGCCGACGACACGATGGTGGCCGCGTACGGGGACCGCCTCGAAGAGCACCTCCTCACTGTGCTCAGCGCCGCGGACGGACTGCTGAGGCGCGCCAGCCTCGGCAGCCCCGTGCGTCTCACCTTGGCCAGGGTCGTGGTGGCCTCGGGAGACAAGGCCGGCTCCGGCGACGGAGCCAGGACCCGGCTGGAGGTGTCCTCCAACGCGGCGCTGGCGCTGCGCGACTTCTGCAAGTGGCAGCTGCAGCTGAACCGCCGCGGGCAGGACCACCCGGAGCGGCACGACACAGCCGTGCTCTTTACGCGCAAGGTGAGGGTGTGAGTCCCGGCCCAGGTGGTGCTCCCCTCTCTCCCTCCCTCCCTCCCTCCCTACTCCCCGCCACCTCGGAGTAATGCCCCCATTTAATGATTAGTCTTATTATCATCATCATCATCATCGGTAGTTTTGGTTAATCCACTGCTGGATAAAGGCCTTCCAAATCCGCCGCTACCTTCTCTCGGTTCTGTGATGTCGATGGGTGACATCCCGAAGGCGTCCTGCTTTTTAAAATTATCTTCATGAGTTTTGGGGGAAAACCCGCATTGACGGTCGTGGGGAAGTATGGTCAACGTCTCCGTCCCCCTCCGCCCCCCTGTTGAGTGCGGGTGGCCTCAGTTCGTAAAATAAAACAACACCCGCTTCGGTGGATGGAGGTGGAGGTGGCTTGTGATGGATGGGACGAGTGCTGCTGGATGGAGGAGGGCAGCTGACCGAGACGGCCGTTGAAGTTGCAGCCAGAGGTCACAGTGGGGGCTTTACCCACCCAACAGGGACGACACGGCTGAGTCGAGCTTTGACCGGGAAGTTTAACTCTTAACCTTTTTTGCATGCGAGTCACGGGTCAATACCTCGACTGCCTCCTTGCGCAGGCTCAGCCTCGAGTTCCACACTGCTGCTGCTGCTGCTCTAAGTCTCGCGCTAAACAAAGACAAAGATACCCCCCCCCCCTATAATCTTAACAGGCTCTTGGGGAAAGTGATGTTACTGAGCACCTATGAAGGCGGACATGGCACACGAGGCAGTGGGTGGCCAACACTATGCCCGGCGCCTTTGTCTCCCCGGTGCTAATCGTTACACACGGCACCAGGTGCGCGTTTACAGCCGAGTCGAATCTCGGCGACGCCCAGGACCTGCTTCAGATACTCGCCACCGATTGTTACACCGTGAGCGGGAATCGATCTTCGGGTCGCAGGGTTCAGCGATAACCAATGCGCTACCACTGGCGCACAAAGAGAACCCCCCCTCCCCCACGTCGTCAGTGAACCGAGTAATCTGCCTCCGGTGGAGAGTGACGCTAGCGCCGATGGAGAGCAGGTGACGGCGTGCTGCAGGTGACGACGACGATGCGAATAACGCGAGTGATTTACACCACTCTCGCCAATCCTCTGCTGGAAGAAAGTCGTCGTGGGCCCTTGCTTGACCGCACTCCACCAGGCTGGTCGGTGCCTATTTGAGACGAGCTCGGCCGAGGTAGCAGGGTGGGGTGGGGAGGGGGGCAGATCCCGTTCAGATATAACTTACCACTGATGTCAGCTGCGGCCGAGAATAGGGGCAGTGCGCTAACCACTGCGCCACCGCTCCACCTCGCCAGTATAATACACCCCATAGTACCTGCAGTGTCAACGTTTAATAATCTCGGGTGCTGTGCGATTACGCCGCGCCAGGTAAACCCCGAGCCTCCAGCGGTCTACGTGTCAAGACACTCCGTAGTGGAATTAATGACGGGTCCATTTAGCGTTGTGCTGTTCTCGGAAGCTAAGCAAGTGTGAACCTGGTTCAGCGCTTGGAGGGGCTTGACACGGGTTGTGCGAGTCGGCTGCGGGGTGAGTGGGGGCAGCGTTGGAGGCCACAACATCCATCGTTGTACTGCACTTCTCTGTTACAAACGTTTATGATTTGTCCTCCTCATCAACCCGCACTGATTGGCGTACGGAATGGGGAACGAATCACCACACGGACCCGCATGGCGTGAGGTGGGGGAAGGGTTTTGGGCCTCATCATCACCATCATCATCCAGCAGTGGATTGACCAAGGAGCTGAGTGCACGTGTCACGTGCACTCCGCCAGGGAGGGCTGATCTGTGTTTGAATCCTCCGGTGGCGATGGTTTGACTGCGGCGTGACTGGTTGGTATCTGTTAATGAGCGAACGAATGAATCAATGGGTGCTTTTATGAATGAATGAATAGGGGGCAGAACAAAAGTGACTGAATAAATGAAGAAATACAAATGTGAAGCGTGCAGTATACACGAACGACTCAACGAACTGTAATGAACGAACGAACGATAAAACGAGCAAACGATCTCGTGGACATATCAATGAATGCATCCGAATAATTGAATGAAAGTAATATGAAAATAAAAAAGTATTGAAATTAAAAATAAAAAAACTAATGAAAATAATGAATGAAAGTAATTTTAAGGAACGCACCCTCGAGCGATTTGACGGCCGAACTAAACAAATTCCCGCGCGAATAACACGCTGGGTAACGAAATAAAGGAGTGAGTGAAGGAATGACGGAAGGAACGTTTCCTTGCAGGATCTGTGCGGCTCGCAGGGCTGCGAGACGCTGGGCATGGCGGACGTGGGTACCGTGTGCGACCCGGAGCGCAGCTGCGCTGTCGTCGAGGACGACGGCCTTCAGTCGGCCTTCACAGTGACCCACGAACTGGGTTAGACTCCCACCCCTGTCCCTCTCTCTCTCTCGCTCTTCCCCTCTCTCTCTCGCTGGCTCGCTCGCTCTCTCGTTCAATCTCTTCAACCACCGCCGCAGCTGTGACATCTCCATACCCCCCAGTACGGCTGCTCCATTCTCCACGCACAAAGACCACGATCCCCGTATCATCTTGAACAGACTGTTAGGAGCGAGTGCTGTGAGCGAGCGCCAGAAGCAGCACCTTCGAAGGCCGCTACGGCACACGAGCGGGTGGGTGGCCAACAGCACGCTCGGTCGCCTTTGTCTCCCCAGTGGCGATGTTTACACACCGCACCAGGTACTCATTTGTGACTGAGTCGACCTCGGGAATGCCTAGTACCGTTTAAGATGATCGTCACCCGTGTTGGCCGTTAGTAGGAATCGAACTCGGTTCGCCGAGTTCGTAGCCCGGCGCGCTAACCGCAACACGACCACTCGCCCGGGTACAGCTCCACGCACAGACACCAAAGACCAAGGCGCACACACACACCCCGTAGCTAATCCATCTCCCCCAACCATCCCTCCCTCCCCCCACCCTAACCTCCACACTGACCCTGACTCCCACCGCCCTCTCCCACCAAAAATCACCCGCCCCTCCCCTCCTTCAATCCCCCCCCACCACCACCCCTTCCTTCACCGGACCCCCCACCCTGACCATGACCCCCAACTCACCCCCGCCCCCCCCCCCCACAATTGAAACGCATTTCCCTTTTGGTGCAAACTTAGATGTTTGATAATCGTCATCAGCCACGACCTGTCCACTGCTGGATGAAGTTCTTCCCAAAGCTGTTGGCAACTCTCACGCTCCTGAGGTGCAACACATCTGTCCGGCTCAGGGGTCGGCGACCTCTGTGAGGACAGCAGTTTACCATGGGAGTCCAGTTTACCATGGGAGTCCAGTTTACCATGGGAGTCCAGTTTACCATGGGAGTCCAGTTTACCATGAAAGTCCAGTTTACCTTGGGAGTCTAGTTTATCATGGGAGTCCAATTTACCATGGGAGTCCAGTTTACCATGAAAGTCCTGTTTACCATGGGAGTTCAGTTTACCATGGGAGTCCAGTTTACCATGGGAGTCTAGTTCACCATGGGATTCCAGTTTACCTTGCGAGTCCAGTTTACCATGAAAGGCCAGTTCACCATGGGCAGGGCTCGGTAACCTGTGTCTTCAGAGCCCCATGTGGCTCATTGAGGACTGTTTGGTGACGTTATTTATTAAGGACCACCTGTCTCGCGCACCGCGGCTCGTGAAATATTGAGGTTTTAATATTTGTTTTTACGAAATTCGAAAAAAATATTGGTGACCGACCCCCCCCACCGCCCTCCTGCTCTGGCTCTTGCACATGTGCCGAGCTCATTTCATCATCTGGTCCATCTCTGCGGTGCCACATCCTGCCGTGCGTGTTCTGTCCTTTGGCTGCCACGCCGTCTTTGGTCTTGGCCGCAGGCTGTCATTCCTTCTGGGGGACGCGCTCCTTATCCGTGTGCTCGCTCGCTCTTCCTGTCTCTCGGTGTAAAGTCCACGCTCGCCTGCCCCTCTCCCCGCTGTTAATTTCACTTTTCATCTTTCGTTCCATTTTGTTCGTAAATGTCCATCTCCTTACGTCACAGGAGAGAGTTTGGCGTTGATGAGAGAGAGAAAAAAAGATCGGTGTATTTATCACGTGGATATTTTCATGGCTTGGCCTCTGATGATATTGGACGCATTCCGAACAATTTGGTCATACGCAAAGTAACATCATGGCACACGGAATAATCCAACCTTCTCCTCCGCTCCACCCCTTCACCCCTTCACCAAAAACTCCCACAGCCCACGCCTCTGCCAAAACTGCATCAGAGCGTTAAAATAAAAAAAAAACTGCAAAGAGCATTAATTCTCACATCTCTCTCTCTCTCCACCACCACCCTGGCTCCCACCTTCCCTTTCCTGTCCACCCACCCACCCCACACCCTTTCCTTCCCCCTTGCCCCACCATTCAATGCCCCACCTCCCACCACACCCCCCCCCCCCCCCCATTACATCGCTCCCTTCCTTCCAGCCTCCAAACTCCATCCGACCTGACCCGGCCAACCGACCATGGCCACGTCACAGCACCCATTCTGCATTCGGTGCGAGTGACGGTCGCGACAATGGATGTTGACGAGCGGTCCCCTCTCTTTCTGCCACCACCACCACCAACACCCACCCACCCACAGGTCACGTGCTCGGCATGCCCCACGATGACGCGGCCGCGTGCACCGACAAGTTCGGCCCGGCGCGTGCCAGGCACCTCATGGCGTCCGTGCTCAGCGGCCTCGACTTCAGCTCGCTGTGGTCGCAGTGCAGCGCCGCGTCGCTCATGGACTTCCTGGACGACGGGCAAGGTGAGGCATCCCCCAACCACCCTGTAAACCCCATCTACTCCCCCCCCCCCTTCCCCCACCACTACCAACTCGGCACTGCTGCTGGCCCATTGGAGGCTCTGAGCAGAAATTATTTTTAGTGGACGTTGGCTCACCTATCCACCCACGCGTCCGCACGCTCTTTCAATTGACCGATGCACTCCTCGTGAGATAACAGGCGAAGCGATGGAGACGGACGTAGAGATTTAGTGAGACGATAGAAGAGACGCAGACAAGAGTGAGTTGAACAAGGTTCCATGACTGGAAATTGATGTTAGCCGTGACCGGGGAATGAATTCAGGTGGCTGGGCTGGTCGTGCACTTTTCATTCACCACTCCCCACAGTGTGGGGAGGCCCTCATCCAGCAGTGGAGTGACGTAAGCGCTGTACATGTACAATGAATCATCACAATCATTATCGATGAATGAAATATCCTCATTTTTAATGTATACCACCAGCAGCATCAGCATTATCATCAGTTGCATCAAATCAGTGGCTTCTGTGAAAACTACTAGACGTCTATGAAAAAAGAGCTTTACAGCTCATCGAATTCCTCCAGTCTCAATACAGATTCTGATCAGACGCATCATCGTCGTCAGTGTGGAGGTTAAAGAAAGGTGTCAATGGGGTATTAAAGGGAGGTGGGGGGGGGGTCACTGTGGGATGAGGAAGGAGGGGCGTTAGCAGGGGATGATTGTGGGGGGTGTAGCGGTCAGTGGGAAATTATAAATTTCTATTGTTTTGCCGCTGTAGCCAGGAGCGCATCACCGAGTGTCTCGACTCTGCTCAACTCTCTTCCAGGAGGGCTCTGGCCCAGTGCTCCCAGTAGGGGGCAATGTTGCTGCTCTGTGTTATCCCAATTGCGTAATTTGCGGTCTCATCTTTCAGCATTCGGATGTTTAGGGCCGATACGAATGCATGTATGTTGCCTTTTATTCGTGTGATTAGGGGGGGGGGGAGGGGTCCGTGGGGGGATCTAGGGGAGGGTTCATTGTGGGATGACGGGGGAGGGGTTGGGTGGTATGAGGGGAGGGGTTGTGGGATCTGGACTATTGCTTGTCCATGGGCCTTAGCCAAAAGCGCTTCTTGGCAGAACTAGCAGAGCTCCTGCCAACACAGACTCGACGCTGTGTTTACGGAGTAATTTCTTTACCCCAAATTTTTTTTTTAATATGTGCAGAACATTAGCGAGCTTCGCTCGATTCTTCATTGTATTTATATTTATTTTGCTTGCCAAATGAATGATTGTCCCCTTGGAGAGCTTTAAAGGAGGTTTTTATTTTTCCTCTTCGCGTCTATTACGTCACGCCGCCTTCATGTTCATGACCTATTTTGTTGAAGTCTTAAACCTACATCGACTGTACATTGCAACGTGCGCAGGGCCTTGTCTCGATCCACTGCTGGATGAGTGCCTCCCCGATGCCGACCAGTGCCGGTTGGGTGAAGGCAGGTAGCGTAGATTGTTGAAGCATAGTACAGTACAACAGTGGATTTTGCTGCAATTTTGCCCTCTGCTGGGAGGTTGCCACTTGTCTGTCTGGAGTCGAGCTGACTCAGCTCCGGGAATTCTTGGCGTCTGGGTTCGGATGGCCATCAAATTGATTTGTACCCAGTTCTGGCGGTGGCATTGTGATGAGTTGTATTGCAGTGGGATGCGCAGCTTTGTAAATGGACCGAATACTGACCGCGACATATGTCCGGGTCAGAATAAGTATTCATACAAGAGGAATCCGATGAGCTATGAAGCTATTTTTCAAAGATGTCCAGTAGGGGCAGGTCAAAACGTTACAACAACAAACAGTACAAAAACATGATATCAGTGCAAAGTATAGGAAAGATAAGCAAATAACTTCAATATATACAAATACAACTGTACTAGTTTATCTTACCAGCTAAAGCCAACTGAGCCATTCGCTTCTTTTTCAGAAGCGACCTGGCCACAAATGATCGCTAAACACAGTGGCTTATAATGTGGAAATGTATCGCAGCAACATCATCCAGATCATCTCAACGCATCTCAAACCTGCCAACCCGAGGCCGCTCCAACGATTCCAACGGCCCAGACGTCAATTCGAGGACCTGACCACACACGCAGCGCCGTGCTGGACTTCCATTACGGTCAACTGCACAGTTTGGGTAGCAGGCGTCAAGCTTCCCGCTTCTACGTCTCGTCTTAGGCTCGCCTGGTATGCAGGAGGTCGTGGATTCGGTCCTGACCCTGACGCCTGCTGTATATTTGTAGTTTGCACGTTCTCTCTCTCCGTGGTCACGTTCATTTTTCTCCGACCCCTCCGTTTCCCCCCCCGCCCCCTCCACATTTAGAATGAACGTGCGTTTAGATCACTTGACTGCCACCATACATTTCCACACGACGACAAGTCACTTCGTAGAACTATCATTTGTGATAGCCCCGTGGGATTTTAGTGTCACCTGGTAACACAAAATTTGTAAACAAACCACCAAAAATGTCTCCTTCGCTCCCACGCCACAGGCGACTGCCTCCTCAACAAACCCCACTGCGAGCCAGCGTCTGCCGTCGGTCGCTCCGGGCTCGGTGTACGGCGCGGACCGGGAGTGCCAGCTCGCGTTCGGGCCCCGCTCTCTCGCCTGCCCTGGCATGGACGTGTGCCAGCGGCTGTGGTGCACGGAGGAGCGTGCCGGGCGCTTCGTGTGCCTCACCAAGAACCTGCCCGCGGCCGAGGGCACGCCCTGCGGGCACGCCAGCCAGTGCTTGGAGGGCGCCTGCGTGCCCAGCGTCAAGGTCAAGGCCCTTAAGGTGAGGCGCGGGTCCTGCTGCTGGGTTACGAGGCGGCGTGGGAAGGGCGCTACAGTGGCTGGGAGATGTGAACTTACTCGCCTGGTATACAGGTTGTGGGTTCAATCCCGACCCTGACGCCTGCTGCTGTATATTTGGAATTTGTATATTCTCTCTCTCCCCGTGGTCACGTGGATTTTGCTCCGGGTCCTCCGGTTTTCCCTCCACATTTAGAATCAACATCCACGCTTTTAGAGTATTTGGCTGCTATATATTTCCACGTGATAGGCCACTTCGTTGAGCTATCATTTGTGGCCAGGTCGCATCTGAAAAAGAGCTACATAGCTCAGTGGGCCTTACCTGATAAAATATAAAAACATTTTGTTGAGTTTACAGGTTAGTTTCGACTGGAGTCGCTTGGTTGTCGATTTTTCATTCTCCCGTTCTCGGCACGCTGCTAGTCAGGGTGGTCTCCTATCCTAAAGTAAATACCGCTAAATTAGTCCTCATTAAACAATATAAGTCCTTATTAAATAACTTTCACTAACAATAGCAACCTTCCCTACTGCTACTGTATCTGCTGTACAAACGTGCACACTGCTAATCGCCACCCCCTGTTGACATCACGTACACGTGACGTGCAGCCACAGCCACGGGGAGAGGGAAACTGGATGTGGTGTGCCGGGCGCGTGAATATTGTGAGGGTCGCCAAGGCGGACAGAGCAGAAGGGGATAGGACACGAGGAGGCTCAGTTTGACTGTGGAGGAGCTGTAGCGGAGGGGATGGAACCAGACATTCCATCCTGCATCTGTCTGACTGCCTGTCTGTCTGCGTGTGATGATGACGAAGATGGAGATGATGATGATGATACTGCACTATCTAGGCACACATTCTGTTGATCATCTGAGACGCGGTGCAAAGTGTGCACAGTGACACGTGGTGTGACGACGACGACGACCGTCGACGGCGCAGTCGGTCACTGATCGCGACGACGTCTCCCTCTCGTCTCATCGTAGAAGGTGGACGGCCAGTGGGGCGAGTGGGGCGCGTGGAGCGAGTGCTCGCGCTCCTGCGGCGGCGGGGTGCAGCTCTCCTCCCGGGGCTGCGACGCGCCCGAGCCCCGGCACGGAGGCGCCTACTGCGTGGGGCAGCGCGTGCAGTACCGCTCCTGCAGCACCCTCGCCTGCGGGGACGCGCACTCCGGTGAGCCGGGCTACGAGCGGGCGCGCGTGGGAGTGCGTGGGTCATCGAGCGCGCGTGGGAGTGCGTGAGCGAGTGCGTGAGCGACTGAGTACGTGAGCGATGACGCGTGTGAGTGTCTGTGTGTGTAAGATTGAGTGCGTGTGTGAGCGCGTGAGCAGTGTGCGCTACGAACTCAGCGAGCCGGGTTCGATTCCCGGTCACGGACAACACCAGTGATAATTATCTGAACCGGTCCTGGGGTTCCCCTAGGTCGACTCAGTCACAAATGAGTACTTGGTACGGTGTGTAAACATCGCCACTGGGGAGACAAAGACGGCCGGGCGTGATGTTGGCCACCCACCCCATCGTGTGCCGTGCCGGCCTTCATAGGTGCTCACTAACAGCCACTGCCCCAACAGTCTGTTAAGGCTATACGGGGGATCTTTGTTGATCTTTGTCTTTGTGTGTGATTGATTACGTGTGTGAGCGCTACATGACCCAGCTGGGTCACTTATCCCGCATGCCCAGCCACCACGTGCTTAAACAGCTTTTGTTCGGCTGGATAGAGGGGGCTCAGCGGGCACGGCATGGGCTAGAGAAGAGATGTAGTGATGTGGTATAAAAGGACGTAGAGCGGAGTGGACTTGCCGATGACCGGTACCAGCGGTGTCAGGATGGGCCTCTATGGAAGAGGCTCGTGAAAGACGCTGCTGGCCAGTTGGAGGCAGTCGCCCTCCAGCAACAATGGACGGCAGACGAGCGACGCTCACAACAATGGGCGGAGCGCCAGGTGGCTAAAACAGAGCAGTAGGGGGCACAGGTGATGCATAGGCCACTCGTCTCAGTCAGTTGACCCATGGCACCTGGGTCTCTCCCGTGACCTCCTGCCAACGGGCGTTCGACACTTCGCGTGACCTCAACGTGCACATAGCCTGGCACAGGCGTCGTGGTGACGTCACCGCCACTTCGTGGCGAATGGCGGTCGTCGTTGTTGTTGTTGTGTGAGCGAGTGTGCGTGTGGAAGTGCGCGAGTGTGGGGGAGTGAGCGAGTGATTGGGGAGCAGTCGCGTTGTGCTTTGCGCACCGCGATACGAACCCGGCGACACGCGTTCGATTCCCGCTCACAACAAATAACAGTGGCGAATATTTTAACCGGGTTCCGGGGTGTCACCTCGGTCGACTCAGGCTTAATCGAGTTACCTGGTGCGCTGTGTTAAACATCGGTACTGTGGAGTGAAAGGAGGCCGGGCGTGGTGCTGGCCACCCTTCATAGGTGCTTGCAAACAGCTCTCACCCCAAGAGGCTCCAGAGGTGATTTTTGCGTTTGTCAGTGAGAGCGTGAAATTACACATTATGACGGGAGGACGGAGAACCGGTGCTCACAACAACGAGCAGGCGGATAAAACGAAGCGTGGTGGCACAGTGGGGGAGCACAGGCAGTCATCTCAATCAATGAACCCACAAAACACACCTGGGGCTGTCCCGTGATCTGCCTAGCGATGTCACCACCGCTTAGTGGTGAATGTCAGCTGTCGTTGCGTTCACCCATACATAACGCGGCACGGGAAGCTGTGGCCCCATTCGTGTGCATGCACGTAGACCTTCTTTCGCGCCGTACGTCGCCCAACCGTGCAAATCGGAGGCGCGTGCGTGTAAACAAAACGAGGCGAGTTGACGCCACATCCGCTACAACTTGGCGACGTGGCCACGCGTCGCCCCGGCAGCCACTGCAGCCTCCAAAAGCGAATTATTGAGTCGAAATTTAACCCCCCCACACCCCCCCGCGCAGAGTCAATCATTTATCCCGGCGGCAGCATCGACCTGCGAAGGGGGCGGCCCTGACAATAGTTGGGATTTCAGGGCCGCTCGCTCGGAGCGGCTTTCACAGCGCCACAGCTTCTGGCTCGGTTCCACCCCCCCACCCCACCCCGCGACGGGACCGACCCGCGACTCCAGGAGCCCAAACCTCGTTGTACGCTCATGCCTTCTTCGTCGATTTCGAGGTGGCGAGTGGTGACGCAAGCGCGTTACTCCGCGGCAAGAAGGGGCCTGAGGTTTGATTCCCTGCGCTGTTACAGCAATGGTCCTGTGCACCACGCAGAGATTTGTGAAACTCCCAAATGCCCCACCCCACCCCCAACCCCCCCCCCCCCCCGATGGAGCGTCGAGGATGTGGCCAGGAGACGGCGGTAGAGCAAAGCGGGGGCGGTGAATCCGTCCGAGTGGAGCTTTGACAGGTGGAGAGCCGAAATCAGCTCGTGAGCTGCGGCGTGACGGTTCCTGGCACCGCGAGTCCGCAAGCCATCGCGCCGCCTTAGGTGGTGGGGGGAGAGGGTGGGAGTGGCGTCCTTCATCCAGCGGTAGATAGATAACAGCTGACGATGATGCTGATGTGCAGAGGATGAACCTGCGACAGTTTCTAACAACCTCCCTCCCCTCCCTCACTCCCTCCCTCCCCTCCCTCCCTCCCCTCCCTACCTTCCTCCCTCGCTCCCTACCTCCCTACCTCTCCTCCCTTCCTCGCTCCCTCCCTCCCCTCCCTACCTCCCTCCCTCCCACAGCGCTGCGCTATCGCGAAGAGCAGTGCGCGGCTCACAACGCCCGGCACCTGGGACTGCCGGGCCTGGGCGACGCCGGCGCGGAGTGGCTGCCCAAGTACGCAGGGCGTGGCCGCCAAGGACCGCTGCAAGCTCACGTGCCGGGCGCGCTCCTCCGCCTTCTACGCCGTGCTGGCGCACAGGGTACGGGGCACGATGGTTACCCTGGCACACCGCTGGTTACCCTGTCACACCACTGGTTACCCTGGCACTCCGCTGGTTACCCTTGTACACCGCTGGTTACCCTGGCACGCCGCTGGTTACTCTGGCACGCCGCTGGTTATCCTAGCACGCCACTGGTTAGTTAACCTGGCATGCTGGTTACCCTGGCACACGCTGGTTACCCTGGCACCGCCGTTGCCGTATCTGCTGATGATAATGAAAACGATGCCGCTGGTGCGGTTCACGTGGCCCGACGACGCCGCCGATGAAAACGTCGGCGACGACGCCGCCGACTTTGCCGACTGCTGACTGACGCTGGTCCCCCCCCCCCCCCCCCCCCGTCGCTGTGGCTGCCGTGCAGGTGGCGGACGGCACGGAGTGCGGGCCGGGCGTGCAGGGGGTTTGCGTGCGCGGGCGCTGCGTGCCCACCGGCTGCGACCGCGTCATCGGGTCGCGCCTGCGCTTCGATCGGTGCGCCCGCTGCGGAGGGGACGGCTCCACGTGCCGTCGCGTCTCCGGATCCTTCTCCCCGAAACGGTAACCTGGGGGCAGGGGAGGGGGTGGGGTTGGTGGGGCTGGAGGGGGAGGGGTGCGGAGGGGCGAGCGTGGTAGTGGTGGAGGGGGGGGGGGCAGCCATCAAGTCGTGATGAATAGTGACGGAATCATCATCATAGTTGTCAACAGCGATATCGATATGTTCAGCTTGAGCAGCTCCTGCAGCATCAGCAGCAGCAACATTGTCGACATCGTTATCCTAATAATCATCAATAACATCATCGTGACAATTATCAATTGCACCCTCATCATTAACAGCGGCAGTATGATGATCGACATCATCAGGTAAACTTGAATCACCATCATCAGCGACAGCGTCATTCACACCACATTGTCACTGGGCACACTTCGCACCACGTGGACACGTCACCCAGCGTCCGCCCGACGTCGCACAATCTCAGATGCTCAACAGAATTTGGGTCTGGATAGTGCAGTGTCATCATCATCAACATCATCATCAACATCTCCATCATCATCATCATGATCATCATCTCCATTATCATCATCATCTCCATCATCATCAGCAGCAGCAGCACGATTTACAAAAATTGTCACTGAGTCACGAGCACATCCACTCTATTCCCATATCTACCCTGCACACCACCTCGACCGCATCGCCTGACCCTTCACATCTAACGCCCCACCAACTCTCGTGCGTCACAGCCAGAAAGGGTCTCAGTTTGATTCCCCACTTGGGCCCCTGTGCGGAGCTTGTCTATCCCTCTCTGTGTCCTCTGGAATCTCTCTCTCTGTCCTCCAGTATCCTTAAAAAATTGCCAAAAGATCCTCAGAATGTCACAAAAATGAACCAAAATGACCCAAAGTAAGGCCCTCCTGTAGAATGAGCGCTACAACTCAGTGTGGCTTCGCAAGACGAATACCAAAATGCAATTGTTATATCTACATATTATTTTAAATTGATCAAACGTTAAAATTGTTCACGCGTACAGTGCTTCGTGATCTTTCAACGAAAGCTTCCTCGTAAGTTAAACAAAAACTGAACGCGCGTGTAAACACGGTTGTAATTGCCACACAGATTTGGCTACACGGACGTGCTGACGTTGCCGGCCGGCACCACGAGCCTCAAGGTCTGGCGCAAGGCGGAGCGCGACGCGCGCGCCTACCTGGCGCTGCGCGACTCCCGCGGCGAGCCGCTGCTCAACGGCGCCTTCACCGTGGCTCCGAGCCGCACGCTCGTGCAAGCCGGCGGCGGCGTCACGCTGCTCTACAGCGGCTGGGCGGCGCGCGGCGAGAACCTGCGGCTGATGGAGCCCGGCGCCGCCCTGCGCGAGCCGCTCACCTTGCAGGTGCTGCTCACCAACCCCGGCGCGTCGGTGCGCGTCCGCTACGAGTACCACGTGCCCAAGGCGGCGGCGTCGTCGGCGTCGTCGTCGCGAGGGCGGGCGCCGAGCAGCGACGACGATGGGGAGGAGCAGAGCAACGAGATCGACGCCGCGCCGCGGGCGACGTTTGGGGCGGCCGCCAACGCCAAGCGCGGCGACGACGCCGACGCGGCGCGAGCGGCCAAGGCGAAGACCCTGAAGCAGCAGGGCGCCACGCTGGTGCGGCACGCCAAGAGCCGCTCCGAGACGGCGCCGGCAGTCGCGGCCGACGCCGGAAACTCGAACCGCGTGGCAGAGCCGAGAGACGGGGCGAGGCCCGCGGACGTCGAAGCTCGCGACCCTCGGGCCCGCGGGGACCGCGACGCCGAGAGGCCACGCCGCACCGGAACGGAAGGACCCGTCGCCGAATCGTCCGGCCGATGGGTGGCCGGGCCGTGGCGCTCGTGCACGCGGCAGTGCGGCGGGTGGCAGAGGAGGGACGTGCGGTGCGTGGGGGCGGGCGGGGTGGGGGCGGCCCAGGGCCTCTGTTCCCCCGGGGTGCGCCCCTCGGCGTTCCGGGCCTGCTTGACGCAGTCCTGCCCCTCCGTGTAGGCCCCCGGGCGCCGTTCGGCCACTGGGGTCGTTGGCGTTACCGGAGCGGTGGCGGCCGTGGCGATGGCAGATTGGCGAGCGGCGGTGTGAGACCTGCAGAGTTGAGCGGTATCACCGCAGTCCCCTAAGGCTGCTGCTGCTGCTGTTGATGATTAATAATGATACCACGAGGCTGTGAATCCTAAAGCGACACACACACGCACTTGCGTCGTGTTTACTAGGTGATGGGGGGGAGGGTTAATGGGTCACCAAACAACAGGCAGGGCCCTGGCTCTAATTTTGTTTAGGGGAGAAGCGAGGGGCACCTTTCTGGATTCGAGTTCACGTTCTGCCAACACTGATCATAGGTCAAAGTTGACGACGCCGACGATGATGTTGATGATGCTGCTTCATACGATGCAACTACACAACGAGATAAATTATGTCGACTGCCGCAACACGAAGATGTGAGGGGCGCAGATTCATTTCTCGATGGATATTTTCCGTGTCGCTGGTAGACTGGAGTCGGTTACACGTGGCTGAGTTAGCCACAGCCATTGGCAAGAAGATGGGATACTGGACATGCTGTGCCTCTTGACGGAAACGAAGCCCTGTGCACGAGTGGCCACGCTTATTTTGTTTTCTGCTCAACACGACAACGCCCAACGGCGGCATATTGGACGCGTGGCCACGACGACCGATGGGTGACGCCAAACGGCGCTCGTACCACGTGGTGCTCGCCGAGCTCCACGTGCCGGGAGCTCCCTCAGGTAAAAGAAGCCCCCGGGCGCCTGGAGCGAAAGCGTCGGACGTCGTGCCGAAGAACGCCGCGGCACGACCCCCCTGCGCGGTGGGGTTGGAGGCCGTCACGGTTGAGAGATGCGGCGATGGCAAGAGAGCAGTGGAGAGAGACTGCGAGGAGATACGGTGAAGGAAACAGCCATGACCCAACGGCCCACGAGGCCAAGGGAGTCGAAGACGTCACGTGCGCGTGCGCGCGTGTTGACATTATTTCGCACAGTACGTATCCAGCCGTGCTTCAACACGAGGTGCGGGGATAAAGAGTGAAACCAGGACAATGCACAAGCGGCAAACGCGACGCAGAGCGACTCGTCGCCTCGCGTGGAGGCTCGGGACCCACGCGGCGAACACAACAACAATCCGCTCCGGACCTCTTCTGGACCACCGGTGATCTGGCAGTCTCCGGACTGAGCCAGCACCGGCTCCTCCAGTGCACTTTTTTTTTTTGCTAATCGTGTGTCTGTTGTTAGTTGTTGTTGTTGTTGTTTTCGTGGAGCAAATGAATGAATAATTATTAAGAATATTTTTTGCAATTAATAATAATGTTATTTTTTTATTATTTCGCCACAGCTATGCTAGGATGCGCTGCGCGCATGCGAGTTTGGCGTGTGCTTGTTACGCGGAACGCGCAGGAAGTGTGGACGCGCAGAGCGGCTGACGAGGTGCAGGGTCACGCGATGACGAAGGCGGGGGTGATGATGACGACAAAGACGACGACGACGATGATGACGACGACGATGATGACGATGCTTCGGCGTGTAATGATGCGTTGTTGGTTCGTCGATTAAAAAAAAATCACTCGCAACACCTTTTCACTGAGCCCCGCGTGTAAGGATCGATCGTTTTTCACTTATGTGTTTGCGTGCGGGGCATGCGATGGGTCCACATGAAAGCCCGGGGCGACTTGAAGTGCCTCATTCGTCGCGATGTGAAACACGGGAATTGATTCTTGAATCGGATTTGCGATAATCCAATAACGGGGGTAGGTGAATCATCACGCGCCTGACGGCGGCTATTATTAATAACCAGAGGCAAGATCAACCAATGTCTGCTCTGGTCCACGGACTCTATAGGAATAGGAACCACTCTAAAAAGTGCCGGTCATACAGAATCTTTATTTAGAGCTGCAGGAGGAATCTGATGAGCCATGAAGCTCTTTGTGCACACGTGTTCAGTCAGGGGCGGACGAGTAAATAACAGATTGGTTTCGATTTAAAGCTTTCGTGACTGCAGGGATTCATCTTCTTGGTTCTTTCGGTAAAGTCACGTAGAAGGGAAGTAATAAAATAATAAAAATAAAACATAATAAAATAATTTTCACAACGTTTCGGCCACAACGCAAGCAGCCGTCCTCAGGTGAAGACGGCTGCTTGCGTTGTGGCCGAAACGTCGTGAGAATTATTTTATTATGTTTTATTTTTATTATTTTATTACTTCGCTTCTACGTGACTTTACCGTAAGAACCAAGAAGATAACAGATTGGTGTTCTGAGGGTCGCCGGCACGGCGTGTCATTACCCACCGCCTGCCATTCCCACCACGCCGCTTGCCACTGCTGTTAGCCGGAGGGGTGGGCAATGGGAAGTCAGGTCGCCGGGTTCAGAGTGGAGCGCGCTAACCGCCGTGCCACCGCTCCTCTCTACCCACGAGCGCACGCTGTGTTGAATTATTATCGTCGCTATCGGGCTCCGCCAGCAGGCGTGCTCGCGAATCGACAGGGGATGGATAAGAGGCGCTGGGGAGACGTGGGGGGAGGTGGGGGTGGATGGAGTACGAGCGACGTCACGGAATGGGCTGACGCTTGACTCGTATTCACTCGCCATCGATAGCTCAACTCCTCAAGCTGCAGGGAGTTTTACATATCGTCGTGGTGATGGTCATCATCATCATCATCGACCGTGATCAATCTACTGCTGGATGATAACCTCCGCAAGCTTTCGCCGTCGCTTACAGTCCTGCAAATTGCAAACATTCCACTCACGGCTGACGCCATCGCTCCATCTCCACGGTGGGGGAGGTGCTCCTTGGCGAGTTTTCTCTCCTTTGGCTGACACTCCGTCATTAGTCTCGGCCACCGGCCATCAAGCACACACACGCTTGTCTCAGCAGTCAACAAGATCGCCTCTCAACTTCCCTACTCTCTCGAATCCACGTGCTCCCCTGCGGGTCTATTCAGTGCCACTCCCCAAGCGGGCAACATCATCTTTTCAACGCACCAAGTTGACGGGCACGCTACAAAGTTATCTTCAGATTGTACTGAAGATAACTTGCTTTCAGGAGGGCCCGTGCTACCTTGAAATGTTTGGCCAACTCCCTTTTGATTAATTAAAGGGGTAGTGGATTGCCCCAGAGGAACCCCACCACGCATATGATGAGATGAATACTGAAACGACCCACCACACAGATGAGGTCACGAACCCTCTTGCTTTACTTGCCATCCACTGGCCACCTCGCAAACCCAGCAGGTTGAGGAGCTTCGGAAATCTCTGTGTGACCCACCAACCCCCCCCGCCTCCAGAGCGCTGCTGGATCACAGGTGTATGGCGTCATGCCCGGCATCAATGCAGACATCTGGTTAAGACATCCCATCATACGTCTTGCCTAGAGATGTATTGATGTGCCTCTTGACAAGTCCCATGCGGAGCATAACATTACATTAGGCTCACTTCTGTGAGTTCACAGGACCAATTGCAATACCACTTAGGGGGTGTCACGCTCTCTGCGCTGGGGCAAGGCACCGGACGCTGTCTTCACGGATCTGAGTTCATCCCTTTGATTCTGAGTCTTCTCCGTGTAGGTGAATCGCCGTCTAACCCCGGGCCACTCCAGGCTTTGGCTGCGTGCGAGATGCGGGGTGTTGATCCCTGCGTCTCGTCTCCTCTGCGGGTTTTTCCTGCCAGACGAGTCCCCCCTCTGCAACGCGATACACCAGAGTGAATGCTGAGACAAGGGTCCACCGCTATCGTCGGCTCTGCATCTTATCCAACTTGCTGGGTGAACAATTCTCCACCACCAGTTTAACACGTAGGCTTTCGCGACCAATATTACTCATAATCAACGTTTTTGGGTTTAGATCGCGTTATTTATAAATATGTCGTAACCCTCCACCACCCGACACAGGCCAATGATGCTGGATGCAATTACCAGCGAAACGTCGTACTCAAATTGTAAATGTTGTGGTTTCACGCTTCAACACACCGGTGGGCTAAAGCTGTGAACTATTTGTCTTTTGTCAACGTGACACTTTTTTACTGATTGGTCGTGTCGGGTGGTGGAGGGTTACGACACATTTATAAATAACGCGATCTAAACCCAAAAACGTTGATTATGAATTCCCCACCACGCCGATGCCATCTCTCGCGGTCCCTACGACGGCGCAGTCAGACTCGCTCCTGCACACCGGCTGATCTCATAGGGCGCTGCGGTGGACCAGATGTTAACTACCTCGCCTGGTGTACAGGACGTCGTGGGTTCGAGTCCTGCCCTGACGCCTGTGTAAATTTGGAGTTTGCATGTGTCTCTTACCGTGGTCGTGCGGGTTTTTCACCGGGTCCTCCGGTTTTCCCCTCTACATTTAGAAACACGCGTTTAGAGTATTTGGCTGCTATAAATGTCCACGTGATGAACCACTTCGTTGATCTATTAATTGTGGCCAGGTCGCTTCTGAAAATAGCTACATAGCTCAGTGGGCCTTACCTGGTGAAGTGAACATCGTTAGTTTTGTTGAGTTTGTTCATTGCTCCATCAAACCGGTGTGGTCGTATCTTCAGTTGCCACTCCATCACCGGTCTCATCCATTGTTGGCACGTCCTGCCCAAGCCTACGACTTCTCCTTAGCAGTCAATATCAGGCCTCTAGTTTGCATTTGCTCGCTGATACATTAATTCCCCTTTCTGTCCCTCAGTGTAATCCCCACTGCCAGGCATACGTAAAGAAATTGGCACCTCTGATTCGCACGGTTGGCTACGTACGGTGCGAAAGAAGTTAAACATACATACAAAACATGCATTGACATTGATTGTAATCAACCGATCACCATTCTCGACCAATGCTATCCAACAGCGCTTGTTTAAGCATCACACTGTGCGGTGGTTTCGACTTCTCTGAGTCTCATCAGCAGGCTGCAGACTGATATACAAACGGGCCGCTGCTGGGTTAACCTGATGTTATTGGCAGGAACACAACATGCGCGTCATGGGCCCCGTCCAATGCAGTACAGCAACCCGGTACAAAATAATACGTGGGATGTGCTGGTAGGGTCGATTGTGGTTCAAGAGGGAATTTATTTACAAAGACACAGATCCCCCTATATAGCCTTAACGGACGGTTAAGGCAAGTGCTATACATTTCCACACGATAGGCACCTATGAAGGACGACACGGCACACGAGGGGGTGGTTGACCAGCACCACGCCCGACCGCTTTTGTCTCCCTAGTGGTGATTTTTAAATACTGCACTAGGTACTCATTTTAGTGGCCGGGTTTGTAGCGCGAACCGCAGTGAGACTCAACCCAAACGCGTCCACCGAGGAGACGGAGCGATGCAGTCACCGCGTAGCATCGTGGGATCGTGAGCAAAGGTGGCCACGGCTGGAGGGGCAGGAGGAGGAGGCCTTGGTCCAGCGGTGGGGTGACCAAGGCGGATGCGGGTATTGTGCTGCTCCACATTTACACATGATAGGCCGCTCCGATGAGTGATAATTTGTGGACAGCTGACCGCTGGGCCTTAGCCAAGTGGGCCTTAGCTGGTATAATGATATGTATATTTTTGTAGTTTATAATTGTGTGATTGATCACGACGAGGTCCACACAGACGGGCTCATTGGTGCTATCGATGACGTTTGGCGAGCGATCTACTCGCCCACGAGCGCGTTCACCACAATCCCAACAGGCTGTTTTTCCGGTTTGCAATTCGAAAACTGTAGCTGCTGCAAATGTCAGACTCTCTTTGATTTTTGAATAGGGGTCGGGTCGGGGCGGGGGGGGCGCACGGAGACCCCCTGGGACCCCCGCCTCCCCGGCCGCCTGGAGCAGGTGGAGGGGGAATGGCGACGAGCCTCCTGGCCACAGCAGACTGACAGCTGCTGTCGAGAGAGAGAGAGGGAGGAGCAGAGACGTGGGGGAGGGAGGCGCTCGGAGGGAGCCGCTCGAGGTAGGGGCTCGTGCCAAGAAGGGGACTCTCTTGAGTTGACGTTGGAATGTGGACACTGATACTTGATGGCGAGGCATGTACGCGCGCGCGTGCGCGAGTTTCGTTGAATTCGGAGGGAGCGGTATTGGACACCCATCCCCACGTGCGCCGTGCCGGCCTTCATAGGTGCTGCTACTTGCTAACAGCACTTGCCACAGCAGTCTACTCGGGACATACTGGGGATCTTTGTCTTTGTATGTGGGGAGCGGTGGTGCAATGATGAGCGCGCTGTGCTATGAATCCGGCCCGAGCTCGATTTCCGCTCACGGCCAACACCAGTGACGATTATCTAAATCGAAGCTGGACCTCCCCTAGGTCAACTCAGCGGTGTGTAAACATCGCCACTCGGGAGACAAAGGCGGCCGGGCGTGGTGCTGGCCACCCACCCCCTCGTGTGCCGTGCCGGCCTTCATAGGTGCTCGCAAACAGCACTTGGCCAAACAGTCTATCAAGGCTACACGCACTGCGCGACAAACCTGGCAAGCCGAGTTCAATTATAAATTAAATGTTTGTATAGAGTTGCGTTTGCTACCAGAGACTTTATAATAAAAAGAAAGCCGGCCACATTGATCAAGCGGTTGCCCCTCCCCAAAAAAGTTGGCGATCAAAAACCAGCGCCAAAAGTTGCTATCCTCGGTGGCCAAAGCAAATGACGTCGTTCCGTGTGAAATCATTTCTCTAGATCACATCAGGGCGTGCGCCTCCCTTCCGATGACGTCAGTACATTTTGGGATTTCACGGTTCACACGTATCCTTGTGGCGATGTCTCATTGTTTGACTTGGAACGTAACGCTGATATCGCGAAATAAATACTCTGAGAAAACACACACGATGGAAAGTGTTGCACCAAGTCCATTTATCTCGTCCATGACATTAATTCATGAACTTTGCACCGTCGCACTATTCGATTGTTCAAATTGCTTCCGTAAGTTAATTCGCTCAACCCACGGGCGTACGAATTAGATTCCCATTCCTATTGTTTTTGTTGTTGTTGTTGTTGTTGTCGTCGCCCCGGGGCAAAGCGAGGGGCTCTTCCTTGTCGCCGTCCCCGCTCGCGCTGCGTCCCGGGCCACACCGGGAGCCACAACTCGCCCCAGCTGCGTCGCGTTCGCCGACCCGTGCGCCGTGTTACAGCCGCGGCAAAAACGGCTTCTCCTTTGAGCTCCGCTCCACTGCTGGCCCGTGGTTCTGCCCCGTGAACACAAAACTTTAACAGCCGCACACCAACGTTGGAGGGGGGGGGGGGGGAGGGGGGTATTGTAATAGCGCCACGGTGGCGAGATGTTAACTAGCTCGCCTGGTATACAGGAGATCATGGTGTTCGATCCCGACCCGGTCGCCTGTATATGTGGAGTTTGCGTGTTCTCCCCGTGGTCGCGTGGATTTGTCTCCGGCTCTCCGTCCACGTTGATAAACGTGCGTTTAGAGTGCTGTATTTGGCTGCTACGCATGTCCACGTGATCAGCCTCTTCCTTGAGCTATCATTTGTGATAGCCAGGTCGCTTCTGGAAATGAGATATAAAGCTCAATCGACCATACCTGGGGGGAAACACAGGAATATTGAAGAGTGAGTGCGGGGAGACGGTGGCCCGGGTGGTTCAGAGGTCAGAGTGCTCAGCCTGCACCGTCGAGGTTCCGGGTTTGAACGCAGCTTTCAGCCACCTGTGATTAATGTACTTATTTCGCCCCATACGTAGCCAACCGTGCTAATTGGAGGTGCGGGTGAAACCGGGTTGTCAAGTGTGGTGCATTGATGGCCTCAGCCTGGCAAACAATGACTGCACGCCTGTGAGCTTGCCCTGTGGAGGCAGCGAGTGTTGGTGGGTCACACGCGTGTCGCGTGACTCACTTCACGTGGCTTGTCGAGCAGTCATACCTTGGCTTGCCAGAAAGCGGCACAGCAAACATGTGGACTCCCATCTGTTCCCCCTGCATGTGATTGAGTGTTTCCCCCTCGCACACATTGGTTTTCTCCAAGCGCTTCGGTTTTTTTTCCCACGTGTGTAAACACTCATTAATATGGAGAGGATGGCAGAGCTCGGGCAATTGTTGGCACCGGTTTCCCGCCTGGCTGCCTTCCAGCTTGTCTGCGGTTCCTCCTTGTGCCTCCGAGCCATGATCTGTCTTCAAGATCGAGCGAACATTATGCGGTGTGTTACAAGTTGGCAGTATTATTAAAAAAACACATTAATTACATTTAGTTTTGCAATTAAATTGGCTAAATTCCAGTTCTGAAAAAAAAGATTGGTTTGACTATCGTGCGATAAAACATGACTCCTGTAACTGGAAAAGGGTGGGGGCAATGTGTGGATGATAGCTCACGTGACCAATGAATCTCAGAAGTAGTGCTGTGATGTCTGCTTATGTGGGCTAGGCGCTGGCACGGAGGGCTGCACTGCTCTGTTAGAGATCCGAATTGATTTTCCCACTGACGCTGATAGCACAGGAGCAAAAAACTGGAACAAAATTTTCAAATCCCTTTTTATGTTGTTGAATTGCATTCAGGATGCAGTGATTGAATTTGAACTCGAAATAATCCGCGTGAAAATAGCTCCAATTATAACCAGGATGCCACTGTAAAAATACAGCACATAACACTTGTTTCATAACAATTCCTTATTCATCATGGGAAGTCAAACTGAGTCCAACAACTATTTTTCAGAAGGGTCCTGCATTGTATTTTTTTCTTTTCATATTTTACGAGGTGTTCAGCCAATTCATGATGACTGTCTTTCCACGCGGGATGAAAACCAGAGCACCTGGAGAAAACTCACACGTGTCCTTGGGGCAGCACTCTCCCGTACAGATGGGAACAGATGGCGATCAGGTCTACACTCTGTCTCTGCTGTATCGCCTTCATCCTGGCAAGCGAGGGTATGGAACCTCGACTCCCGCGGGGAGTTTCGCAACAGTTGTGCACACCCTGAGTTCGTGCTGTGGTTGTCCAAACAATTGTTATTGGAATATTGTGTTACTGGAGGCGGGTAAAAAAAAAAAACATATTCGAAGACGCCTTTGTTCGAGTGCAACACATTATTTGGTGATGCCTGCTGGTGCTGATGCTGCTGCGTTTGGCAGTCATTGCAACAAGCGGGCGTGACAAACACAAACACAACTCAACACAAAAACACTTTTTGTGCGCTATAAAAAAGGGCAATTGCCCGAAGCTACTCCCATTTGATATTTTTTCCTTTTAAGGCCACGGTGTTTGTTGACGAATGCGTTGAGTGTATGTAGGTGACAGCGGCCTTTCTTCACAGCACAAACAAACATCAGCGTCGTTTCTGATGCGCGTGCTGAGTGTTTTTTTTCCATATTCGTTGTGCTCGTGCACCACTGTCAACGCAGCAGCCGCAGCAGCATCATCGCCAAACAATGCGTTACACTTTTTAGACTTTGGAATAATATGAAAAAAAAGGACGACGACGACAACGTTACATGACTGACTTGTATTGGCTCAGGAGCCAGGTCGAGGCATCTGATTGGAGCTGGAGAAGCTGCGATTGGCTCTGCTCCAGATGCGATCCCGGGGCTGCTGGTGAAGAGAGCCTGGAGCCGGAGCCACTCCAGAGCCAGGACACGCACGGAGAGCGCTGCCACCCCCAACGCAAATCCCATGACGCTTGCATCTGTTCCCCCTTTCCTAGCCCTCCCTCCTCTCCTCCTTCTCTCCCCCCCCCCCCATCCTGCCACGACTAAGACCGCAACCACGGAACAGTGACAACGATCCCCAGTGTAGCCTTGAGTGCGCACATCTATTAAAGCTGGCGCGGCAAATTACGGGATGGTCTGGCCAACAACACCACGCCCGGGCCCCGCCTGTGTCTTTTCGAAGTGGCGATGTTTATAGATCGGCACCAGGCTGTCGTTTGTGGCTGAGTTGATTTAGAGACGGGGGGGGTGGGTGGGGGGGGGGGTACATGATTCAGATATTCGTCACATGTTGGCCGAGAGCTGGAATCGAACTCGGGTCGCACAGCGACGAAATTCGAAATACAGCGCGCTAACCGCTACGCTACCTCTCCAACAACAATCGACGTTCGCTACGAAGTGGCGGCGACGTCACCACGGGACTTGTGCCATGCTAGGTGCACTCCCGCTCCCCACACCAACACACAAAGACAAAGATCCCCCGCATAGCCTTGAACAGACTGTTAGGGGAAAGTGCCGGTAGCGAGCAGCTATGAAGGCCGGCACGGCACGTGGCGATGTTTACACACCATAAAAGATACTCATTTGAGGCTGAGTCGACCTAAGGGAGGCCCACAACCGGGTCAGATAATCGTCACTGGGTGTTGGTCGTGAGCGTGAATCGAACCCGGATCGCCGGGATAGTAGCGCAGCGCGCTAACCACTACACTGCCGCTCTCCACACATTCACCCACACACACACTCGCACACACTCACACACTCGCACTCACCCACACACACACTCACACACACCCACACTCGTACACACTCACCCACACACACACTCGCACACACTCAATCACACTCACCCACACACTCCACACCCACACACTCGCACTCACCCACACACACACTCACACACACCCACACTCGTACACACTCACCCACACACACACTCGCACACACTCAATCACACTCACCCACACACTCACACTCGCACACACTCACAGACCCACACACACACACTCACCCACACACACACACACTCACCCACACACACACTCGCACACACTCGCAACACACACAATAACGCGCACACAAACTCTCCATCAAATCGAGTCCAGGGATCTCTCCCCTCCTCCTCCCCCCACTCCCTGCTATAACATCCAACGGGGCGGTGTGGTTAGGGTGGTGGGGGTAAGTCGAGGAGTATGGGGGGGGGTGGAAGAGGAGTCTGAGGGACGGTGTCCCTTTAAGAGGCGGCTCCTTGCAGCGCGAGGCGTCCGGTGCGCCTTTAAGTGCGAACGAGGCGCGATTGGGTGGACGAGGGGGTCGGTGCCGCGCCGCGCACGTGCGTCGCGTCGCCCCGCCGGTATAAGAGCGGCCTCGCTGTCAGCACGCGGCGAGTGAGCCGAGTCGAGTGAGTGGACAAATGAATGAGAGAGCCTGCTACGGAGCAAACACACGGAGTCGTGCAGCCTGCTAGGACCCTGCCGACAGCGGCAGGCGCAAGCAGCAACGACAGCTGTAGCAGCAGCAGCCGCAGCGGCGGTGACGGTTGTCGATTGAACAGCTCTGCTCGCATTTCATCGGCAAAGCAAAGCATCAGCCGGTAGCGTTATCTGGTTGAATGCATGCACGTATGTATGCATCGTATATATGTGTGTGTGGCTATTATGCGAGCATCGTCATTAGAAGTGCTGTGGTGGTACAAGGCAGCGGTGCAGATTGAACGGTTAGCGTGAGCGGCGTTGTCATCTGTGGAGTTCTGTATACTTGTTTTTGTGGATGTAGCATTATTATTATCAGCAGCATAGGATGCAGTTGCAGGTTGAGCATTACCAGCAGCAGTAGCATCATAATCAGCTTGAATGTAAGTTGTGTGCAGCAGCAGCAGCAGCCGCAGCAGGGGTAACACTCTCAGTAGCAACAGCAGTATCAGTCGCCTTACCAACGTCAGCATCATCATCTGCAGAAGCAGCAGCATCAGAATCGGCAGCCGCAGTAGCGGTACAATAGCAATCATCTCCAGCATCAGGAGCACCACCATCATCATCATTATCAGCAGCAGCAAGCGGCACTATCTTCTTCATCATCAGCAGCAGCTTTCAGCAGCGGCATTGTACAGCGATGTCGAGGCGCGGGTCGCACAACAGCAGCGCGCGGCGGAGCCAGCGTGAGCAGCAGCTGAGTCAGCAGCAGCTGTAGCGGCAACAGCTGTAGCAGCAGCAGCTGTAAGCAAGTAGCTGTAGCGGCAGCAGCTGTAAGCAAGCAGCTGTAGCGACAGCAGCTGAGCCATCAGCAGCTGTAGCGGCAGCAGCTTTAAGCAAGTAGCTGTAGCGGGTTTCGTTGCAGCACCAGTCGGCCAACTTGCCCCACCTCCTCCTCCGCTTGCACCGCGGAGTCGGCGCGTTAGAGCCCCGTGCGCGCCCTCGCACGGCACGAGCGATGCTGCTGCTGATGCTGATGCCATCGATCCTCCTCTGGTTCGCGTCCTGCGCCGCTCCCGCCGGCGCGGCCAAGTCGCGCACGGAGCGCGACGTGACAGTGCCCGTACGCGTCGATGGCCACCAGGGACCCTTTCCTACAACAACAACTACAACAACAACAACACGAGAAGGAGACTACAGCAGCAACAGCAACGACGATGGTGGTGGTGGCGTTCCAATGTCGGAGTCGGCCTCTTACGCGCTGCGCGCTTTCGGCCAAAGTTTCCGCCTGGACATCGTGCGCGACCACAGCTTCATCTCGCCCGCATTCACCGTGGCGCACGTGGGCGCGCCCCAGCGAGGCGGCGGCGGGGCGGACGAGCTCGCGCGCGCCGTGCGGGAGTCGGGGGCGAACCTGAGCCACTGCTTCTTCGCAGGGCCGCGTCAACGGAGACGCGAGCGCGACGGTGGTGCTCAGCGCGTGCGGGGGACTGCGCGGCGCGTTCCGTCACGGGCGGCACCAGTACTTCATCCGGCCCGAGACACCGGGGGAGGAGGAGGAGAGTCGGGGTGCTGCTGCTACTGCTGCTGGCGCTGGTGACGGCGACGACGATGGAGGACTTGGTGGGTTGAACTCTTCGAGCGCTGACTCGGCGCGACGTCGACACGTCATCACGCGCAGAGGAGTCTCGCAGATGTTCGCCGATAGCGACGGCGAGGACGACGGCGACGACGTGCAACGATGCGGCGTCAACAGCACCGCGTTCGTCGGCCCCTCGCGCGAATTCCTGGAGCGCCTCGATCGCTCGAGCAACGAGGCAACGGGAGCGGCAGCAGGAGGAGGAGGAGATGGTGGCGTCTTCAGGAACCCTTGGACGGCGGCGCGCTCCAAGCGCTTCGTGTCTCTGCCGCGCTACGTGGAGACGCTGGTGGTGGCCGACGAGGCGATGGCCTCGTACCACGGCGCGGACCTGAAGCACTACCTGCTCACGCTCATGGCTATCGCGGCGAGACTTTACAGGCACCCGAGCATCCGCAACGCCGTGCACCTGGTGGTGGTGAAGCTGCTCGTCATCAGCAACGAGGAGAAGGGCCCCAAGATCTCGAGCCACGCGGCGCTCACGCTCAGAAACTTCTGCGCCTGGCAAAAGAAATTCAACAAGGGCAGCGACAAGCATCCAGAGTACTACGACACGGCTATCCTCTTCACCAAACAGGTACCACCCCCCCCCCCTCGCTGACCCCCCCCCCCCCCCCCCCACTGACTGCCCTGCCAACCCTCCTGCTCCCCACCACACAAAGTCGAGGCGCCATCCCTGCAATGTGTTGCTCACGCCACTGCTGTCCAAGGGCGGCTTCGACTCGGAAAAAGATGCGGAAGGTCTGGATAGCGCCTCGCTCCGATGCTGTTGATTGTGCAGCAGTCGAGGGGCGTGTGGGTGGTGGGGTGTGCTGCTGGTGGTGGAGGGGGGTTAATGAAGTGCCCATTGCTTCAGCTGTCACGCCCGGAGATCGAAACTGCGAATCGAACTTGAAATATCCGGGTTGATTACGCAGTGCGCTAACCGCTGCACCACCACTCCTGTAAATCATAACATTTATATTATTCACTTAGGGCGCGCTGCAGTGCCAGTACTGGTTAGCATTACCACTGGGGAGACAAAGACGACCGGGCGTGGTGCTGGCTACCCACCCTCTCGTGTGCCGTGCCGGCCTTCATAGGTGCTCGCTAACAGCACTTGCCCCAACAGTCTGTTCAGTCTACGTGGGGAGTCTTCCTCTTGTCGTGCTGGTGAGCTGCACAGGCGGCCAAGTCTACCTCCAGCACGGCAGGTTAACAATGGGCACGTTTATTATTATTGTTATTATTCAATTTCACCCCCCCCCCCCCCCCCTTCTCCACCGTGTGTGTCCAGGCAGCAGTATAAACGTGTCCCGCCACAGTTAGTCCATCGGCAGGTTGCTCGTCGTGGGGTCAAGTGTGGGCACTGCCACCTCTTCCCAGACGGCTAGCCAGGCGCGGGAGAGGTCAAATGCCCTCTCTGCAGGAAACTGGCCACAGCTCTTTCTATTGCGCTGATCACTGCGCCACCGCTCCACCCCTCAGTTGCTGTTATCATTATTTCATTAATTATCATTAATCAAGACTCGCTTTTTTGACAGGATCCTAAACCCGCTTGCCGTCCTGCAATGTCTTGGGGCTCTCATACCGCGTCACTCCCATCTCTGCACGGCCCACCAACCCGTTCCTCAGGCGCTGGATTCACAGGCGCGTGCCGCTGACGCGCTCGGCATGTTTGCCCTTCGCGTTGAATCGGAGCACTGTGGGTCTCGATGGAGAGATCTTGCCAAGAGCACGTCTGGCAAAGTCAGCTGCGTTGGCTTTGACAAGCATCGCTCTGCTGATGAGACCCTCAAGGACTGAACCCGTCCAGAGGTTCGCTTCGTTAAATTAGCTGCTGGATGATATTGGTCTGGAAAGCCAACAGGCCGATGACTGATACACGGAGACACAGAACGGGCATTTGCTTGTTCTGTATATTGCAGTATGTTTTTTTTTCCTTAAAATCTCGGCCATGAACTGAAATGATGGGATTCTCGATGACAACCCGCCATCAATCCCAGGACCGACCTGCGTCCTTCAGACTTTGGACGCCTCAACCCCTGATATTGCAACAAAGACAAAGATCCCCCGTGTAGCCTTAACAGAATGTAGGGGCAAGTGCTGTTAGCGAGCACCTGCGAAGGCCGGCATGGCACACGATGGCGTGGGTGGCCAACACCACGCCCGGCCGCCTTTGTCTCTTCAGTGGCGATGTTTACACATAGCACCAGGTACTCATTTGAGGCTGGGTGGACCTAGAGGAGGCCAATGACCGGTTCATATAATCATGACTCGTGTCGGCTGTGAGCGGGAATCGAACCCGGGTAGCACGGTTCACACACACACAGTATTTTAGCCCTGACCCAAATCAAGGTGCCGGTTCTCGTCAAATCTCGGAGGCTAAGCAGTCGTTGAGCCTGGTTAGTGCTTTGGATGGGTGACCACTACCGCCGAGTGGGTCGGCGTGGTACCTCGATGCGGCGCTTTGTCTTTGTTTCCGGGTGCTCTGGAATCGTCCACATGTGGAGTCGCAATCAAATTGTTAATAGTCGCAAGAGAGGTTTTTTATGGGTCAGATCGCGTAAATATGAATGTGTCGTTAAACCCGCCACCACCCGACACAGCCAACTCGTGAGTCTTGTCACGCAAACAGAACGTGGCAACTCGCTCCGAGTACAGCGCACGTGTCGCCAGCACGAGTGACGAGTTGGCACGCTCTGTTTGCGTGACAAGCCTTACCAGTTGACTGTGTCGGGTGGTGACCAGTTTAGCGACACATTTGTCTTTACGCGATCTAACCCCCAAAAAACCTGTGTTATGGATAATATTGTTCGCGAAAGACGATTGCGCGCTAAACTGAATCATGAATGGCATTGGCCGAACATCCCGATGTAGCGGGACCCTCTTCAAAAGGAGCCCTGAGACACGGGACTATCTTTCCTGGGTAATTCAAGGGAAGTCTTATTATCTGGAGGAGTGGTGGCACAGTGGTTTGCTATGAACCTTGAGCTATGAACCAGCTGCCCTCATATCCGATTACCGACCACGGCTCAGCCGGTTTGAGTCCTCCACCCTGCACCAACCCGCACGAAGCAACGGGGTGAAGTATGGTCAAACAACTCCCACGACTAGCGGGGCGTGGGGAGGCCTTCCTCCAGCAGTGGACTGTCAACTGTGAACAGTTATTCCACGATAATTATTCCCATAAACGAACACTTCAGACGGCATTCTTCCAAGCATGCCCGGTATGAGATGTAAAACCGCTTCTAAAGAAACAATATTGGCAGCTCCCTTTCTCCCGCCTCCCTCTCTCTCTCTCTCCTCCCAACCCTTCTCCGCTCCTCATCCTCTCCTCCCTCATCCTCGCTCTTCATCTTTACCAGCGAGAGAGAGAGAGAGAGACGAATCTTGCCTCTGTGGCATCGCTGCTCGGGGCTTGAAGCGGCCGTCTTCCCATGTGCTGACTGGCCAAGCGTCGTCTGACCACAGCTGCGGATTTGGAGTGATGGTGACGCATTGCAGTCGGCTAATAAACTACGTACGCCTAGCTACGGCGACCCTCGCATGATGTCAGGCAATTGGCTGATGAAACTCAGATAGTTGAAAGCCAGTCTGCAGCGTTTTGCCAGCTTAAACAAATGCAGCTGGATAACACTGGTATGCAATATCCAATGAATGAGCCGTTGGACTATAACGCGTTTGGATGTTGGAAACTGCTTAAATCTGCTACGGCCGAGTCATTCAGTCAAATCTCGTGTTACAAAGTTGTCAGCGATTATCCATTTGCCGAGCCAAGCCTATAGCCGAGTATAGCGGTGGGTCTTGCGATGAAACACGCCGCCTTGACTTAAAGAAGCTCCCGGCGTGCGGAAATAAACTGTAGACATCCAACACGAAGCAGTTTGCGCGACCGCGCAACTGAACCCAAAAGCGACTGGAACCTTGATTCCAACCCAGGCTCTCGGCGACGCCGATTCAAGCGCTTCCGGCCTGCTTTGTTCTCTAACGCTGGACACTGTGTGGCAAAAACATAGCTTCACAGCTCATGGGACTGCTCCAGATTGTGACGCCTCCTCTCCCGGCAGGACATCTGCGGCGCGCAGACGTGCGACACCCTGGGCATGGCCGACGTCGGCACCATGTGCGACCCCAAGCGGAGCTTGCTCCGTCATCGAGGACGATGGCCTCCCGTCAGCCTTCACCACGGCCCACGAGCTCGGTGAGGAGGAAATGTGGGGGAAGAGTAGGCAGAGGGCACGCACCACGCTGCTGATCGGTGGATCATCATCATCATCGTCGTCGTCGTCCTCGTGTTTTTTTTTGTAAAGATGACGATGATGCCATCATTGTGATGTCATCACGAACTGTCGTCGTCATCATCATCATCGCTGTCATTATGACGATCGAGAACAATATAATTATCATGCAGCAGCAGCGTTGGCAACATGAAATTTGTCAACGGATATTGGTGGATCGTCATGCTCTGAACATTACTCGTGGTGGCAGAGCGGGTAGGGGGGGGGCGATGCTCCCAATTGTGTGAGCCTTACGTCACTTGGGCTCAAAGGTAGCTCCGTCATATCCACTTCCGCGGGCTGTGCTCGAACAGGAAAGGTCCCAACCGCTCTGTAAGATTGGATTCTTCGTCTTGTGCGTGACGCTGATAGCACAATCAGGTTGAAATTCGGGGAACAAAAGGTTAATGCTGTTTTACTTTGACGAGAGCCGCTGATGAGATGATACTGAATTCTGGTAAAGTGACGCTGGGAAGCCGAGTGACATTGAACATCTGGTGTCAAACACTCAAGCGTGCTGTTTGTGAGCACCTATTAAGTCGGATATGACACAAAAGCTTGCAGCGTGGCTATCACCACACCCACCCATGTCTCCTGACACACTGCACCAAGCACTTATTGAATCCTCAGTCAACATTGTGGAGGCCACAGGACAGGTTCAGACACTGGACAGGTTCAGCCAATACGATAACTTGTTATTATGATGATGATGACGACACTGATTACATTGGTGATGCCAATACTGACAATGACGACGACGATAATGATGATGAAATCGACGATGACGACGACAATGATGATGAAATCGATGATGAAGATGATGATCACGACACTGATGACGTTGGTGTGTGACGATGAGGGGCGTGACGATGACGACGACGACGATGACGACGATGACAATGATGAAGTCGATGATGACGATGATGATCACGACACTGATGACGTTGGTGTGTGACGATGAGGGGCGTGACGATGACGATGACGACGATGACGACGATGACAATGATGAAGTCGATGATGACGATGATGATGACGACACTGATGACGTTGGTGTGTGACGTTGAGGGGCGTGACGATGACGACCGCGTGCGTGGCGGTGTCCCCCCGGCAGGGCACGTGTTCAACATGCCGCACGACAACGTGAAGGCGTGCGAGCGCGTGGCCGGCAAGCAGGGCGAGCACCACATGATGTCGCCCACCATCACGCACGTGGACCGCGCGCAGCCCTGGTCGGCCTGCAGCGCAGCCATCATCACCGACTTCCTCGACAACAAGCACGGCGAGTGATATGGTGGTGGTGGTGGGGGCGGTGGGGGGGGCGGAGATAAGGGGAGATGAAACCGAATTAAAACTGAACAATTTTTATTTTATTTGAGCAGGTAAGGCCCGCTGAGCGGTATGTATTTTTTTGTTCGCAAGCGACCTGGCCACAAATGACGGTTACGTGGACGTTTGTCGCAGGCAAACGCTCCAAACGCGTGACGTTGATTCTAAATGTGAAGGCAAACACCGGAGGACCCAGAGAAGAATCCACGCGACCACTGGGAGAGAGACAACGAAAACTCAACATATACAGCAGCAGGCGTCAGGGTCGGGATCGAACCCATGACCTCCCGTATACCAGGCGAGGTAGTTAACATCTCATAGCCACCGTGGTGTCCTAGATTAGGGGAGACGACAGAGAGATGCCGGTAAATAGTGAGGAGGTGCGGGGGAGACTAGGTGAGATACGGGTGATACTGGAGAGATATGGGAAGATACGGGGAGATATGGGGAGTTGTCAAAGAGGCAGGAGAAACACGGTAGATACGGTGAGATACAGGGAAAGGGGAAACTGACTCACACAGACACCCCTAAACTCGGACGGAGACCCACAGACATGCAGAGACTCCTAGCCTCCCACAGAGATCCACAGACAAAAAATCCTATCCTCCCTACAGAGACCCACAGGCACGCAGAGACTCCAAGCCTCGCACAAAGATCCACAGACAAACAGAGAATAATATCCTCCCTACAGAGACCCACAGACACGCAGAGACTCCAAGCCTGGCACAGAGATCCACAGACACGCAGAGACTCCAAGCCTGGCACAGAGATCCACAGACACGCAGAGACTCCAAGCCTGGCACAGAGATCCACAGACACGCAGAGACTCCAAGCCTCCCACAGAGATCCACAGACAAACATAATCCTATCCTCCCTACAGAGACCCACAGACACGCAGAGACTCCAAGCCTGGCACAGAGATCCACAGACACGCAGAGACTCCAAGCCTGGCACAGAGATCCACAGACACGCAGAGACTCCAAGCCAGGCACAGACAGCCATAGCCTCACTTAGACACCTCATAGATTCACTGCCCTCCCTTGCCACATGGAGCGATTTCCCACAACGACTGAGGGCTTAGCGTGAAGGGAAGGACATTGCGATGTCTGGCACAACGCTCTCTCTCTCACCTGACCAAGCAGGCCCGTCACAGTCTCCCCGGGCGACATCCCAGCCACCCACTGTTCAAATTTACGGCAAATGGACAGTTTTACTGCTCTTACGTTTAATTTAAAACGCGGCGTGATGGCGCGGCCGGGTGGCTCCTGTGGCTCAAAGCTTCCCATTGTTCTAGAAGTGCTGAGCCAGCTCAGCTGAGAACCTGGGTTCAACGCCGAGGGTAGGGTGTGCCTTTTTGTGTGTTTGGGTTTTCAGACAGCTCGTAATGAATGACCACGTCAAAGTCACCGAGCCAGAACTGCTGACATCCCACTGGCTTCAAAGCCTTCGGGGTTTGAGGTCTTTCTAAGCGGGGCCACAGCTCTAAGCCAGAACGCCCGGGGAATCTGAGTTCAAGCTCTGTGACCGTGTCTCTTTGTGCCCCCCCCCCCCCCCCCCCGAGCATTCATGATGACGGTGCTGAAATACTTTCAGTTGCCCCCGAGTTGATCCACCTGCCTATGCCACTTTGATCAGTTCGGTGAAAGGGGTTCGGAAGGAGTGGAGTCCGATGGAAACAAAGTTCCGGAAATAAGAACGCTTGTTGATGATGCTGTGAGGATGACTGATGATCATATTTGTGGTGGTGGTGATGATGATGATGATATGAGTGGTGGTGATAATGCTGATGGTATGGTTGGTGGTGATGATGCTGATGATGGTATGGTTGGTGGTGATGATGCTGATGATGATATGGGTTGTGGTGGTGATGATGCTGATGTGCTCGATGATGCACTGCATGCGTGATTCCTGAGCATGTACATCGCAGTCTCTGGCTCACACATAAATACAAACATCCCCCATATAGCCTTAACATACTGTTGGGGCAAGTGCTGTTCACGAGCACCTATGAAGGCCGCCACGGCATACGAGGGTGGGTGGGTGGCTAGCACCATGCCCAACCGCCTTTGTCTCCCCAGTGGCGATGTTTACACACGGTACGAGGTACTAATTTGAGGCTAAGTTGACCTAGGGGAGGCCCAAGACCGGTTTAGATAATCCTCACCGGTGTTGGCCTTGAGCGGGAATCGAACTCGGGCCACCAGGTTTTCGTAGCGCAGCGGCGCGAACCGCTAGACCACCGCTCCCCTCGTTACCACTGACGCAAGCACGCGCACAAGCACACGCGCGTAGACCCCCCTCCCCCACCGCTCATCCCCTCGCTCTCCCCTCCACACCACTCCCCCCCGTACAGGCGACTGCCTCCTGGACGAGCCGACGAACGCGCTGACCCCTCCGGGCGAGCTCCCCGGCGTCTCCTACCCGGCGGAACGCCAGTGCGAGCTGGCGTTCGGGCGCGGCTCGCGCCTCTGCCCGTACGCGGAAGCGTGCGCCAAGCTGTGGTGCACGGGCCGCGTGTCGGGACAGCTCGTGTGCCAGACGCGCCACTTCCCCTGGGCCGACGGCACGGCCTGCGCCACGGGCCGCTGGTGCATGCGGGGCCAGTGCACCGAGAAGGGCGAGGGCAAGCGTGGCAAGGTGAGCGCGCTCGAATGAGACCCGTTTTGTAAAAATGTTGTATTATTACCGCGCCCTTGCGAACGTGCGCGGCGGATCTAGCCAACGGGCACACGGTGACGGGAAATGAAGAAGCAAAGGAAAGCGGCGATCGCCTGATCCGCCCCATGCGAGTCGTTGTACCCGTCACAAAGAAACGCAACGCCGAAAAGCCGTGCTCGAACCCAATGTTCGAGTCCACAAACTGGGTTGGGGTTTGGGTTTTGGGCTAGGCTAAGGAGCATGGATTCGAGCGTGAATTTCGACTTTGATTTTGGCGCGCCAGGATCCACGCGGCACAGAGAAAGTGTGGACTAATCTCCATCCGTTCTCTCTGTGCGGGGATCGAGCGTTGGCCCTCTCGCGTGAGCGAGAGGGTCTTCTCCAGGCTCTCCGGTTTCCTCCCACGTGCGTGAACGCTCGTTAATTGGCTGACAGCATCTTAAAATGTGCAACTCCCACGAGAAAAGCGTCATTGTGGCTTTCCTGGAGACATAATCGTAACAGTAATTATTAAAGTGTTTGATCGCTTGCCGTCATTGTTATGATATCAGCATCATCATCATGGTGAGTGTTTTCATCATTGTCATCAATAGCAGCATCATCATCGCCATCGTTATCATTGTTGTCAGCATTGTTATCATAATCGTCACTATCAATGTCATCAGAAGCATCATTGTTGTCATAATTGTCATCATTAGTGGCATTATCATCCATCAAGGTTATTATAAAACGCTATATCCTAACCTGAACCCTCCCTCCGCCCCCCCCTACCCCCCTGACCCCAAGGCGCCCGTGGACGGGAGCTGGGGTCGCTGGGCTCCGTACGGAGAGTGCTCGCGCACTTGCGGCGGCGGCGTGCACCTGGCCCGGCGCGAGTGCGACTCCCCGAGCCCCGCACACGCGGGCGCCTACTGCACGGGCCCACGTGTCAAGTACCGCTCGTGCGGCCTCGCGCTGTGCCCCAGCGGGCCCGGTACGCGCTGCTCACCCACACGCACTCAGCCACGCTCAGCCACGCTCACCCACACTCAGCCACACTGAGCCACACTCAGGTACACTCACCCACACTCAACCACCACTCACCCACACTCACCTACACTCACCCTCATTCAGCCACACACTCACCCACACTCACCCACACTCAGGTACACTCACCCACACTCACCAACACTCACCAACACTCACCCACACTCACCCACACTCAGCCACGCTCAGCCACGCTCACCAACACTCAGGCATGCTCAGCCATGCTCAGGCACACTCAGCCACCACTCACCCACGCTCACACACGCTCACCCACACTCAGCCACACTCACCCACACTCACACACGCTCACCCACACGCACTCACCCACGCTCAGCCACGCTCAGCCACGCTCAGGCACACTCAGCCACCACTAACCCACGCTCACCCACACTCACACACACTCAACCACCACTCACCCACGCTCACCCACACTCAGCCACACTCAGCCACACTCACCCACACTCACACACGCTCGGCCACGCTCAGCCACGCTCACCAACACTCAGGCATGCTCAGCCATGCTCAGGCACACTCAGCCACCACTCACCCACGCTCACACACGCTCACCCACACTCAGCCACACTCACCCACACTCACACACGCTCACCCACACGCACTCAGCCACGCTCAGCCACGCTCACCCACGCTCAGCCACGCTCAGCCACGCTCAGGCACACTCAGCCACCACTCACCCACGCTCACCCACACTCACACACACTCAACCACCACTCACCCACGCTCACCCACACTCAGCCACACTCAGCCACACTCACCCACACTCACACACGCTCGGCCACGCTCAGCCACGCTCAGGTACACTCAGCCACACTCAGCCACACTCAACCACACTCACCCACACTCAACCACCACTCACCCACACTCACCAACACTCACCTACACTCACCCACGCTCACCCTCACTCAGCCACACACTCACCCACACTCAGGTACACTCACCCACACTCAACCACCACTCACCCACACTCAACCACCACTCACCCACACTCACCCCCACTCAGCCACACTCACCCACACTCACCCCCACTCACCCACACTCACCCCCACTCAGCCACACTCACCCCCACTCAGCCACACTCACCCACACTCAACCACCACCTCCCCCCCATCTCCTTCCACCATCACCTATTTTTTTTATATATGTTTCTTTTATTTTACCCGGTAAGGCCCACTTAGCTATATACGGCTCTTTTTCAGAAGCGGCCTGGCCACAAACGATTGCTCAACGGCGTGGCCTTATCGTGCGGACATTTAAAGCAGCCAAAATACTCTCAAACGCGCGTTTCTAAATAGTGAAGGGAAAAACGGGAGGGCCCGGAGAAAAATCCACGCGACCACGAGGCGTCAGGGTCAGGACCAAAACCCACGACCTCCTGTGCACCAGGCGAGGTCGTTAACATCTCCCCCTCCCCCCCCCGTGCCGGCAGACACGAAAAGCTTCCGCGAGGAGCAGTGCGCCGCGTTCGACGGGCAGCGCGTCCACTCCAACGGCCTGAGCCCCGGCGTGCGCTGGCTGCCCAAGTACTCGGGGATCAGCGCCAAGGACCGCTGCAAGCTGGTGTGCCGCGCCAACGGCACCGGCTACTACTTCGTGCTGGCTCCCAAGGTGAGCGCGCGGGGTGGGAGGGGCCAGGGGTGCGGAGGGGGAGGGGTGCGGAGGGGGAGGGGTGCGGAGGGGGAGGGGTGCGGAGGGGGAGGGGTGCGGAGGGGGAGGGGTGCGGAGGGGGGAGGGGTGTGGAGGGGGAGGGGTGCGGAGGGGCGAGGGGTGTGGAGGGGGGAGGGGTGCGGAGGGGGGAGGGGTGCGGAGGGGCGAGGGGTGCGGAGGGGCGAGGGGTGTGGAGGGGGGAGGGGTGCGGAGGGGCGAGGGCGGTGGCGGTGGGGGAGGCCAGCCGCCAAGTGATGATGAGCAGTGTCGGGATCATCATCATCATCATCGTGAAACAAATAGAGCTTTGATTCTTGACTTAAAGCTTTCGTGACTGCAGGGATTCATGTGTTTTGGGTCTTTTGGCAAAGTCAAGTAAATAGGTTCAGAATAATAAAATCGCTTGTGTTGCGATCGAAACGTCGTAGTTTTTGTTTATTTTATTATTCTGACCCTATCTACGTAACTTTACTGAAAGACCAAAATAAAATAAAGCTTTGATTTTTATTTGACCACGTGTGAACCCCACTGAGCTGCTATGCACCTCGTTTGCAGAAGCGACCCCGGCCATCGGCAAACGATAGCGCAAAGAAGTGGCTTATCATGGTCGTCATCACGTGGAAATGTATAGCAGCCAAATAGTCTGACGGTGCGATGTCGATTCTAAGTGTGGAGGGAAAACCCGTGGGGCCCAGAGAAAAATCCACGCGACCACAGGTTGAGAGAGAACATACAAACTCCGAATATACAGGCGCCAAGGTCGGGATCTGACCCGCGACCTCCTGTATACCAGGCGATGTCGTTGACATGTCACCACTGTAGCCACAACCCGCAACGAGAACTCTACTGGACGTGGTGTGCCGGGTTGGGGAAATATTTCTTGGGTCACCGGTAGACTCGAGTAGGTAGTACATGACGGGGGGTGTGGGGGTCTTGGTCTTCGTCCCGTCTCACTGTTACCTCTCACGCACGCGACGTCCCGCCCGTCACACAGGTGGTGGACGGCACGAGGTGCGGCCCCGACACGTCGGACGTCTGCGTGCAGGGCCGCTGCGTGCGCGCCGGCTGCGACGGGCGGCTGGGCTCGCGCGCTCGCCTCGACGTGTGCGGAGTGTGCGGCGGGGACGCCTCGACCTGCCGCAGGGTCTCCGGCACCTTCACCAAGGCGCAGTGAGTGACGGTTGCCATGGCGGCAGAGACGGCATCATCATCATCGTCGCAGTGTCGTCATCATCATCAGCAGCAGCATCATCATCAGTGTCATCGTCAGCAGCACTATCAGTGGCAGCAGCATCATTACCAGTGGCGTGATTGGTAGCAGCAGCATCATCAGTGTCATCATCAGCAGCACTAGCAGTGGCAGCAGCATCATTACCAGTGGCGTGATTGGTAGCAGAATCGGCCAAAATTATTAAAGGCAACGATATTAGCCGCATCATTAGCAGGAGTTTTCTCATGATGTTCATCGTCAGAAGTAGCATCACCAGCGTCAGCTTCTGTATCAGGGCCTGTGGCAGCATCTTCATCATCACCGTCATCGAAGTGTGCTAGCTTCACAATCCAGTCGTCAATGAACTCGCCCGCATGCTTCTCCCGTGAGACGTGAAGACCCGGGGCTGAAATCAGAATCCAGGGCCGGATCAAGGCACGGGGCTTTAGGGGCTACTGCCCAGGGGCCTCCGTCAGCTGCAGGGCCTCCAGAGATGAAGTGAAAAGTTATTTGAGTTGTGAATGCTGAATTTTATTTGTTGTTAGCCTTGTAAAAATACATTTAAAATTTTTTTTAACTTTGTTTTCCTTTTGAAAATATTACTGGGGGCCTCACAGTACTTATAGCCCAAGGGCCTACACAATCTTACTCCGGCAGAATGAGATTATTTATCTATAGCTGAGGAATCCGATGAGCTGTGAAGCTCTTTTTCACAAATGTCCAGACCATCGGCTCCTCACAGTCCATCATCGCCCCACACCGGAGGAGCAGCCATCGCGAGCCACGCGCCAGGGCCCACGCCCGGCACGCACCGCGCGCGTCTCACCCTGCCACCGCCTTGCCACCGCAGGTACGGCTACAACTTCGTGGTGGCGGTACCGGCGGGCGCCACCAACCTGGACGTGCGCCAGCGCGGCTACCAAAGCCTCAAGAACGACGACAACTACCTCGCCGTGCGCTCGGGCCGCGACGGGCGCTACCTCCTCAACGGCCACTACGTCATCTCGACGTCGGAGCGCGAGGTGGCGCTGGGCCCCGGCGGCGGGCACGGGGGCCCCGCGGGGACGACGGGCGCCGGCAGCGTGCTCAGCTACAGCGGCACGGCCACGGCGTCGGAGCGGCTGCACGCGCCGGGCGCGCTCACCGAGCCGCTGGTGGTGGAGGTGCTGGCCGTGGGCCGCATGACGCCGCCCAGGGTGCGCTACTCCTTCCACGTCCCGCGCGGCTCCGCCGCCGCCGCCGCCGTCGCGCGCTCCAACGCGCTGCTGGGGGACGCGGGCGGCGAGGGCGGCGACTCCGTGGCAGACGAGGGCAAGAGGGAGAAGGACGAGAGGAAGCGGGAGGAGCAGGAGGAGGAGCTGGCCAAGAGCAAGCGGAACGACGGCGCCAGGAGCGGAGCGGGAGGAGCGGCCGTCCCATCCAAGCGAAAGGCCGGCGGCGTCGGCGCGACGTGGGCCACGGGCGAGTGGGGCGCCTGCTCCCGCACGTGCGGCGGCGGCGGCTCGCAGCGCCGGCACGTGCGCTGCCCGCGCCCGACGGGCGCCTGCACCGGCGCGAGGCCCGAGGCCGTACGGGCGTGCGGGGAGACGAGCTGCCCCGCGTGGCACGCCGGCGGCTGGTCGCCCTGCTCCAAGACATGCGGGCGCGGGTTCCGGCGGCGCTCGCTGCGGTGCGAGGCTCGCGGCGCCGGCGTGGCGCCCAACGTGCTGATGCCGCGCGAGCGCTGCGACCGCGCCGGCAAGCCGCAGGAGCTCGACATCTGCGTCGCGCGCGCGTGCTGATCGCGGCCGCTGGCGGGATATGCGGGGCGGAGAGCGAGCCGACCGGAGCGCCGGCGGTGGGGGCGATGTGGAGTTTCCAGGAGAGGACGCGAAGAAAAACGTCTGAGGAAAACGCCCCCCGAGCGATCGTAGGGGAAGTTGCTGACGGGGCGCGAGCGGCGTGCGCGGACGGTTGCCGCGCGACGGTGACATTCGCACCGCGGCGGCGATCATCCGCTGCGGATGAATCGTCACGAGCGCAGCTGTCATCGCCGCAGTGAGCGTCGCTCGTCGTCACGGAGGTGACGGCGTTCAGAGGCCACGTCGCCTCGACACCGCCGCTCTGACATCCTTGGCGCGTTGAAAGGTGGCGCTGATGGAACAATGAAAACAAAAATGCATCTGAGTGGAACTTTCGGACACTTTGTCAGAAAAAAACACTACAGAAAAGAGGGGGGACCTCTTCAGCTGACTGTTCACCAACGCACACGAAGAGGCTTGGACACTGAGGCTGCCAGGACGACTTTCCAGACATAAAACGTGGAGGTGCGGCTCTGCAATTTCTAGCTCACGCTGCTGCAGGTGGAAGGATGGGCCCCTGCTAGAATGAGCTCTTAGAGGGCCCCTCTAGGGATTGTTTTGGTCTACTCTTCCACACTGGCCAGACGTCTTGGAAGAGGTGGGAGCACCCCACATTTGACCACACCGCTCACGGGCCAACAACACTTGCACTGCATTTCGCACAAACCATGGCAACAAATACAGATACTTGATGATGATGATGATGCACAAATGGAAAATGGAAAACTCTCCGGCAGTGTGCGGAGACTGTGGCCACCACCCAGAACAGAGCCGTGGAGCAGAACACGACTCGATGTGCGACGGCTCAACGCGCCAATTCACAAATACGAAGGAGGCGTCGTCACGGCGACGCAATCGGCGACTCCTGACGCAACCATCCGGATCGGCCACCTCAATGCCATTTTACATCGAGGCGGTCGAGCGAAGGCGATCGCACCGCTCGAAACCTGCCGATCGACTGACTGTGTTGAGCCCCTTTTCTTGACTTCTGGGTGCGGTGGCTGCCGTGCTGGGAGGTGGAATCGAACCTGGACTTGCCTCCGCATTGCAAGTCCAGCGTGCTGACCTTCACGCGACGGCGGCAGCAGTGTCTCTTTCACCGCGTGTATGATCACTTTATTTCACCGTAACACGTTGTCAAACTGGCGATTGTCACGAAGCTGTTCTGTCCGGTTTGATTTTGACGTTTTTTTTTGTTTTGTTATAATTAACTTATTATTTTTTTATCGTTTCATTGCTGAAGATTACAAAGCACAGGTAATCTGGAGCGCTAGTCGCAGTTGGAGAGAGCAAGGCTTTCTCTGAAAACAACAACTTACAGACACGAAATTTAGCGCAAGATAGCAACGGCTAAAACTTGACCTTTTTGTTTTGTTTTTCTATTCGAATTGTGTTTACAACCTGCAAATCTTGAGGGTTTGAATTGGTTAGATTTTTTTTTGTAGTCGTTATCATCGCGAGGCAGCGATTCAACAACAACAACAAAATCTCCATTTCTTGATTCCGTCTCGTGATTTTGCCCTCCGACTTTCTCGGCTCCAGCCACGTGGTCCCGGGGTCCGGACCAGACTTTCCTTCCGCTCGACTCAAACCCAAAGGTGGCACTGATCGACTTCACGTGGTCGATATAAATACGCGAGTGGCTGGCTTTCTCTGAGCTTCAGTATCACAGTCCACGACTTAATGTTGCTTCGTTCACTGCTGGCGGCGATTGTTGTGGTTTCGTTCGTGCTCTGCCCGGGGACTTAGATCAAGATGCAGGATGTTTAGGCTGATCTAGTCCTATGAGTTAAACCAATCAACCTCCAGATTGTCATTCTTTGGGAGGGTGGGACAAAATAATAAAAACAACTTTTGCTTGGATTTTCTACTTCGAAGCATCGACTCAAATATTAATTTAAAACAATAATTTGCAGAAATGTGTTAATCCGCTGAGGGATGAAGGCCTCAGCGCGCCATGTCAGTAATGAGCATACTTCACCACAACGGTTAGTGCGGCATGGTCGAGGGATGTTGACCCATGCACCAGTTAAGATGTCATTCACCACTGATATTAGCCTTGGTCGGGAATGGAACTCGTAGCGATCGCGACTGCGCCCACGTTCCTCGCCAACTCAACAATAATTGGCAAGTTTCGGCTCTCCAGCTCTTCCAGAACACGGTCAACATACATACAGTGGCCAACTCATACGGCCAACTCATACGGTCAACATACATACAGTGGCCAACTCATACGGCCGGTGACAGTTACACCGCAGCCATTTAAAATCCACGAAAACCCACTCGTGTCTGACCGTATGAACGTATCCGTAGCGCAAACATTTTTTTTTTCAAACTATTGTGCCGGTAATGATTTCTTACTCTAGCCCACGGACGAACGTGCTGATTTGACGATCTCGCGCACGCGCAACCACCGTGGTGGACTCGTCACACCCCCTCGGGTTCGATCTGCAATCTTTCCCACCTCCCTCCGCCTCATGGAATCCAACGGAAAGCAGTTGGGTCGATTTACGGATTACGCTGCCGCAATCGCCGATTCGCTCGCTCGCTCGCTCTCTCTTTCTCGCCACCATCAGGGACGCACACTCCGGCTCGGCTCGGATGCGCCAGTCGAAAAACCGGGGGGATGCGAGGTTAGTAGCGGGTGACGAGGGGTGGGGGGGGGGAGCCCAGCGGTCCAGCGGACGCGTGACACCGTCCGTTGGCGGTGCCCACCCTCGATTGGCTGCTCGTCACGTGCCGGAGGGAGCGTGCGGGGCAGTGGGGGTTTGTTGCACACTCCTGAGGGTTCAATTTGGTATTGGATATACCTCGAGTTGCAGAGCAGGTAAACAAAAAAATTGCGATCTTTATATTCCTTGTTTTGTCATTTACGTTACAGACTTCGGGAGCACGGGAGAGAGAGCGGAGAAAACTACGAAACCAAAGTGTTAATAATGTAACGATTTTTTTTATTATTACATATACATAAACTTTTGTAAAGAAACTGCAGAGGATTAAAAAAAGTAGATTTTTTTTTGGTTTTCTGCTGGAAGCAGTTTCATGGGGTCCGTTGGTCGTGATCGTCGTGATCATCGTGGTCGTGATGATTCGCCGGCGACGCCGCCAGTCCAGCCCGCGTGTAAATACTGTACATGTCTTAGCGCCCCTTGGCACAGTGACTGCATTGGATTTAAAAAATAATGATGATAATAATAATAAGCCTTCGTCTTGTGAATACGAATTGTATTTATGCACATTTTTGTCTCGCCGGTATCGCCGCAACGCCGCGCATCGATCTCACTCCTTGTGTACGCTTAGTAAGCTGACGAGGTCGCCGTCGTGATCTGCGACCGGCTTGTCACGCTGCACCGACACCGGCCGCTTTCACCGCGAGACGCAGAGCGAGCGAGCGAGCGCTCACGTTCTGTCCGCGAGCGAGCGCTCGACGTCGGAGCTTGATGCGACGTTCATCTCGTTGTTTTCTCTTTTTAACGGCTTTTAAAAAAAACATTTGGGAAACGCAGAGCGATTTCAGATGGGGAGAGGAGGAGGGGGGGGTTACTTTTTGTTCGTCACGCAATGATAACATCGTTCCGTTAACTCGCCGAGCAGGCGAGGATGGGGTTCACGGGAAGGCTGCCAAATATTCTCGATTGGTCAGGACAAGTGCAGGCGGTTTCAAGAAAGTTGGCCTTCTGAAAAGGGTTTTTGGGGAAAATCGAGAGTTTCTCTGGATTTTCAAGATTTGCCCTCCTCACGCTTGACTCATGACACGGGCAAAGGAGGGTGGGTGGGGTGTCTGAGTAGTGGGCGGAAGTAACGGAAGAGGCTGCTGGCAGTGCTAGCGGCTGAGTGGGTGGGGCCGTGCAAAAGTGGGCGGGGGCCCGACGCAGGGGAGGGGCTACCAGCCGCATCGCTGTGCGTGCTCGTGTCGTGGTTGAGCCTTCCAGAAGATTTGGTAGCCTTTTGTTGTTCACTGTCTACACGTGTTTCTTTTTGGGGCGGGGGGTCGTCTTCATTTTTGTGTTGATTTTCGTTTCATTTTACAGCTACTATATTAACAAACAAAAAAAGTCAACGCGCGGTGTTCGGTTTGTATGGAGCGGGGTGGAGAGGGCTGAGCGTGGAGAGGAAAGAGGTCTTGAACCGGCATAGCGGTGTGAGTGTGTGTGAGTGCCACGGCCTGTATACTGTGTATACTTGATAACACCCCAATGTACAATGCACAAATAAAGTCGCTCGACACCTTATCCACTGTGCTGTCGATCTCTCTCTCTGTGCGCAGGGTTGCGCGTGTGACCGGTACGTCTCTCTATCTTATGTCTGTTTCAGTCAGCGAAATGAGCAGGGCAAGTGACAAGCACGTGCACCTCAGGGCACAGCAGGCCAGGGGGCAGACACTCACGTGCCCCTCCTCATTGTGCCGTATTCATTTAAATTGGGCGCTATCTTCGTAGGCGGTGTGGTCGGCCCCTATGGCAGCATTCTTGCAAGAGTTCACCAAAAGTTGCTCCCCGGCAGTTCAGTTCCAATGATAGGCAGAGGATAAGAGGACGGTCTAGAGCCTGGACTTTAAAGCAAACGAAACTTTATTTTATCAGGTAAGGGCCACTGAGTTTAGTAGTTCTTTTTCAGAAGCGACCTGGCTATCACAAATAATTATAGTCCAACGATGACGTTGCTTATCACGTGGGAATGTATAGCCACCAAATACTCGACACGTGCGTCTCTATATGTGTAGGGAAAACCGGAGGACCCGGAGATAAAAATCCACGCGACCACGGGGAGAGAGAGAGATACATGCAAACTACAAATATACAACAGGCTTCAGGCTCGGGATCGAACTCACGACCTCCTGTATAGCAGGCGAGGTAGTTAACATCTCCAAGCCACCGTGGTGCCACGTAATTTGCTGCTGCTCAGTTCCATTGATAGGCAGAGGAGAAGAGGAAGGCCGAGATAGCACCTGGACTTGAGAGTCCAGGCGGCTGCTGGAAGTGAGTTCCAGACCATGGGAAGCACGTTGACTTGGCGCTTTGGCAGAACGCATTGGTTGTTTTTAATGGGAAGCGTAGAGCGAGAAGTGGGATGAGACGAGAAGGGAGCAGTGGGCAGGGACGAGAGCC